CCCTAAACCCTAAACCCTAAACCCTAAACCCTAAACCCTAAACCCTAAACCCTAAACCCTAAACCCTAAACCCTAAACCCTAAACCCTAAACCCTAAACCCTAAACCCTAAACCCTAAACCCTAAACCCTAAACCATAAACCTAAACCTAAACCCAATTCCCCTAGAATTAGGGTCTAGAACACAAAATACCCTAAAAGTCGAGGAACGCCGCCGCGACAAGAGACACACACAAGGACACTCGCGCGATGGGACCATGACGATGATGGGGAAAGAGACGGCGTTCAGGTGGGATTGTGGTGGTACAGATTAGACCGCGATATCCGGTTCCAAGAGCGACTGAAGCGTTTGAGAAACTTCGACGACGCGTCCAACAATGCGCTCGAGTACCTCGAGACGTGTGAACCAAGAAAAGCCAAGGCACAAGGCCGAAACGCTAAATAAGGCTGATGAAGAGATGAATGAGCTGATAATTACGGTCTCCACGCGAACAGAAAAACATTGTAATTCATCTGTCGATACATCCAAGCGAGTTTCTGAGAACAGAAAAATAGTCCGTCCCGCGAATGACGGGACGCGCACAGATGACGGAGCGAGCGATGCAAATCGCTCCCGATGATGTCATTGAATAGGAAACTACTTGTAATTTTTGCTACGATTGCGAAATTTGGTAGAAGAGCATGTACGCTTGCGCGGCGAACACGTGCGAAGCGTCCACCTCTCGCACGTTTGCGTCGTCGCACAGAAACCACGTCCAAGCCCTACGGATGTACACCGTATAATGGCCACCTTCGAGTATTCCGCTGTGCACGACCACGGCGTAGAGCTTGTACACGTTCTTTGCTTGCATCGATCCATCGACGACAAACGGCGACATGTCGATGTCGAGCGGAAACCTTACGTGAACGTCATTCTTGCGAACTGAATTCGATTCGAAACCTCCTTCGAACCGTTTCAAATGGAAAGTAAGCGTTCGCGGCAAACGCTCGAACAGAACGCGTTTCGTCAGCCTCGTCGTCGCGCAGCCGCGGGTTGCACAGCCGCGGCTCTCAATCGACTCAGCGGCGGTGAAAGCTCTGAGACAATCAGTGAGCTCGCTCGACGCCGTTCCGGACGGCACGTCGATTGATATTCCCACCGTCGCTTCTAAAATCGTCGACGTCATTTCCCCGCACGCCGCGCACGCGACATCTGATCGAAGCAGACCGGCGAATGAACGATGAAAGACGCAGTCACACGCGTCGACAGACACGTTGACCTTTGCGTCCACGCCCGCCGCATCAGCTTCTTCATCCTCATCCTCGTCCAGACCAGTGATATCGAGCGATAAGAGCGCCTCCAGTCCGACTGGACGTTTCTTTTCCCGTCGTAGACTCTTGCCGAGTACGTTCGCGTGCGCGACGGAGAGAAAGCTCAGGAAAAACTCGTGCGCATCCTGCTGTTGTTGCTTCGCCATGGACCGTTCGTTTTGCCACCACGCGTGAAGCACCTCGCTCGCCACGAGCGCGCGTGACGTTGAATCTTTCTCCCCGTACGCCTCGCACACGTACGCGTCCAGCGCGCACGCCGCGCAGTGCTCAACCGCGCACTCGCTCCGCGCGTGTCTCTCACCGAGAAAGAACTCCACCACGGACGGCGTCGCCACGAGCGCCTGGAGCACGCTCGCGACGAAGCACGTGTTCCCCATGTTCACCGAGCCTCTGAGCCCTCTGGGAAGACACCGCGGCGAGGAGGACGCCATCGCGGTCGATGTGTTTTTTTCACATCGCCCCTCTGTCGTCGCGCGCTCGTCTGCGGACGCGCACCGAGGCATCGCGAGCGACGGGCCACCGTCGAGGTCGCGTCGACGCGCGCGCGCGTCTCACGCGTCGCGCGCGACGAACGCGTGCGCCGCACGCGCGATGAAGGAAAGGAAAAAGTTGGGAAAGTCTTCACGTCTTCACTCGAGTGACGAAGAACCGTGCTTTTTCGGTGAAAACGCTTCACGTGGATTCAAACCGCGTCTCACCGAGCCGCACGCGTGGACGACGACGACGCGCGATCGCGATGACGCTCGGGGGTCGATCGAGACGGAATCGAACGAGAGCGTTACCGAGCGACGACGAGGGCGAGGACGAGGCGGCGGCTCGAGACGACGACGATGATGATGATGATGATGGTTTTGAAAATAGTCCCGAGGCGAAGAGAACGCGAACGACGCGAACGGGAAATCCCGGTGCGTCTGGACGGACGAGCGGAAGAGAGCGAAGGCGATCGTCGAGACACGGCGAGAGGCCGAGAAAGAGATACGTCGAGCCGAACGACGAAGATGATGACGATGAGGTCCAGGACGGCGACGACAGTTTCAACGAGGACGACGCCACGGAGGAGGAGGAGGAGGATTTCATCGAAGACAGCGACGACGAACCGATTCGACGAAGCACGCGCGCGCGTGGAGCGGTGCATCGGTTGTCGCCGACTTTCAACAGGCGGGCTCGAGGACAGGACAGCGAAGACGATGAACCAGAGCTCGACGAGGACGAGCCGGAGACGGATGACGACGAGATTCGAGTCGAGAACAAGTCGTACCCAAAACGCGAGCGTGGACCTCCGCCGGAACGATTCGTGCCGCAGCCGCACGAGCGTGGGCGCGACGAGGAGGATGGAAAGAAGAAGAGTCTCTTCGATCGACGCGGAGTGTGGAAGGATGACAGACCCAAACGCTCTTCGAGGGACAGAAGGCGGCAGACTTCTGGACGGTGGATCGACGACTCGGAGGATTCGGATGACGGTGATTTCAACCTCGGCGTGGGAGCCGTAGATGCTTTCAAAGCACCACCGCCATATCCTCTCGCGGGGGCGTCTGGGGGTGCTTCGAAGACGGCGCCGCCAGGCGGCCAAGACGCGAGCGCGGAAATCACCCCGGTGACAGTTGATCCCACGTTGTCCTTCTCGTCAGTCGGCGGACTCGACAAGTACGTCGACGCTCTGAAGGAGATGGTTTTTTTACCTCTGCTCTACCCGGAGGTCTTCGCGCGATTCAAAATGAGCCCTCCGCGAGGCGTTCTTCTGTACGGCGCGCCGGGCACGGGGAAGACGCTCATCGCGAGAGCGCTCGCGGCGTCGTGCTCTCGCGCGGGATCTGAAGTCGCATTTTTCATGCGCAAGGGTGCCGACGTGTTAAGTAAATGGGTCGGCGAGTCGGAGCGCCAGCTACGGTTGTTATTCGAAGAGGCGCAAAAGCGACAGCCAGCAATCATATTTTTCGATGAACTCGACGGGTTGGCGCCCGTGCGTTCGAGCAAGACGGATCAAATTCACAACTCGTTGGTAGCAACCTTGCTCGCTCTGATGGATGGATTAGACAATCGAGGGCGAGTCGTCGTTTTGGGTGCGACGAATAGAGTGGATTCCATTGACGGTGCATTGCGTCGTCCCGGTCGTTTCGATCGAGAGCTCGCTTTCCCTTTGCCAGGCGTGCACGCTCGAGGTGAAATCTTGCGCATTCACACAAAGGAGTGGGAGCAGAGACCTTCCGAAGAACTCATTAACGACCTCGCCGCAAAGTGCGTCGGCTATTGCGGTGCCGATTTGAAAGCGCTGTGTACAGAGGCGGCGGTGCACGCTCTTCGACGTCGGTATCCACAGATTTACGAGAGCGACGAGCGTTTGAACATCGACCCAAGGCAAGTCATTCCCAGTCGAGCGGACTTCAGGGCGGCGCTCGCAGCGATTGTTCCCGCGTCTCATCGCGCGGCGCGGACGCACGCACGACCTCTCACGCCGCTGCAAAAGCCACTTCTCGAGCTCGTGCTGGAGAAATGTTTGGATAGCATTCGGGACACGTTCCCGCCGGCCGCGTTTATCTCGCTCGACGGCGACGGCGAGGCTGTGGGTGTGAAATCGGGTGCGCGTGAACTCATCGACGAACTGGCGGAAGAAGAGGACGAGGATATTCTCGCGCAAGCCACGGCGAACGATGAAGCTTCTGGAGCGTTGCCGAGCGAGTCTGCCGCCAACGCGGCGCTCGAATTCATGCGACGACCGCCGTGCCAACGCACGGCGCTGTGCATTCACGGCGCCGAGACGAGCGGATATAATCAACTGACGTCGGCGCTTCTGCACACCCTCGAGCAATTTCCCGTTCACGCGATCGGCATGCCGTCGCTTCTCGGTGATTCGGGTCGTTCACCCGAAGAGGCGCTCGTCACAGCCGTCACCGAAGCGCGGAGAGCCGCGCCGTCGGTTTTGTATCTTCCGGAGATCCGCCTCTGGTGGGAGAGCTCCACGCCGACACTTCGCGCGGCGCTAACGACGCTGTTGCGAGACATTCCAACGGATTTGCCCGTGATGCTCATCACAACGGCGGACGTGATTGACATCGGCGAGCTCGAAGAGAGTCTTCGAGCATCGTTCGCTTCGGTGCGTTGGAAACCGGTTGCCATGCCCGAGAAGTACGACGCCGACTCGTTATCCAAGTTTTTCCTTCCTCTTCTGGACGCGGCATTCAAAATCGCACAAAAGAGGGACGAGGCGGCGGCGAAAGGCGAGCTCATTCCTGGGAAAACGCCGATGTCGGCGCGGCGACGAGAGGTTCTCAGCCGAGCGCCGCGAGCCGACGACGGACACGTCGGCGGCGTGAAACGCGGCGCTCAAAAGGTATCGCAAGCCACCATCGCGGTTGAGAACCACTTACTTCGCCAACAGCGCATGTTCTTGCGAGACACCGTGACGAGACTGCTTTACCAAAAGAATTGGGCGATTTTAGCCGCGCCAATCACCGACGAGGAGCTACCCGCGTACTCGCAGCGCGTCTCAGAACCGATGGACCTGTCGACGTTACTCTGGAAGGTGGACAGCGAGAAGTACACAACCGTCGACAGCTTCCTCGCAGACGTCCATTTGATCGTGAAGAGCGCGCATGAGTATTGGGGCGAGAGCACCGACGACAGCGACGGGCGTCGAATGTTGAGCAAGGCGCACGCTTTGGAGGATACGATTGCGCAACTGCTCACCGCGCTCGATCCTCAGCTCGTGCTGAGGTGTAAAGAAATCGAAAAGGCGCGCGCGGAGCGCGGGAAAAGCACCGCACCGATAGACGTGGCGCCGGAGACGACCACCGCGGGTGGCGCATCGTCTGATTCCGGAGGTGAGAGGCCCGCGACGCGAAACGGCGACGGCGACGGCGGCATCGCTCCCAAGGGCGCTCCCGTTTGGCGAAATCCTGATTTTGTCAAGGATCCTGAAAAACTCGCCCGAGAGTTGAAGAAGAAAGCTCGCGACGAGGCGGCCGCGAACGTCAACTCTGAGGAAAACGGTCACGTCGAAATGCCAAACGCTTCGTCTCCGATGGATGCGGACGACGTCGGCGCGAATGAAACGGCGCGCGCTCGGGAGACGCCCGCGGAGACCCCGGCGGGCAAGACGGGACCGCCGGCGTTGGATCCGTCCCAGTTGGAGACTTTGAAGGCAAAGGCGATCGGTGATTTCGTCAATTTAGCGAAGGGGCGCTTCGGTTTCGCGGAACTAGAGGCGTTCGCGGGCGACATTGCTCGCGCGGCGAAAAAGGCGTCCGCGGCGTGCGTCGCCGGAGGAACGCTTCGCGTCGACAATCTGAACGCCGAGCTCGCCGCGTTACGAAGCGCTAGGGAGAAGTGAGTTATGATTACAACCTAGATTTCTAACAACGCTCGAACGTCCGCGTCTTCGCACGCGTCATGAGGCGTCTCGCCCGCGAGCGAGCGCGCGTCCTTCGTCGCCCCAGACTCGAGCAAATACTCCACCACGTCGCGATGCTCGCCGCGAGCCGCCAGGTGCAAGGGCGTCTCTCCGTCATCGTCCACCATTGAAATGAGCTCTTTCAGCTTCCCCGACGCGCTCGCCGATTCGCACAGCGCTCTGACGATTTCCACGTGCCCCGACGCGCTCGCGTCGTGAAGCGCCGACCCTCCGTTCTCGTCGCGACCGAGCGCGTCGGCACCGCGCGCGAGAAGAGCACGCGCGCGGTTCACGCGACCGTACAACGCGGCCAAGTGCAGGGCGTCGTCCCCGTCCGCGTTCTTCGCGTTCACGTCCTCGCCCTCCGCCGCGGCGCGCGCGAGCAGTCGGTCGAACTCGTCGTCGTCCATCGCCGCCGCGTCTTCATCCGCATCGCACGCGCGTCGCACGCGAGCCATGCACGCGGCGTCGTCCGCGTCATCCCCGAACGTCTCCGCGACGCCGTCGTCGTCGAGCGCGAGATCCTTAAACACCGTCGCGTAGTCCTCGTCGTTCGCGTCATCAACCGCGTCGTCAACCGCGTCATCCTCGCGTCCCAGCGCCTCGCGCACCGCGCGTCGAATCGCTCGCAGTCGCTCGAGCGCGTCCGAGTCGTCCTCCGCCGCGGCCACCGCGCCGACGTCGCGGTCGACGCGCGACATCGCCCCGTGCCGAGCGACGCGAACGACGACGCGGACGATGGGTGCCCCGCGGGTTCGTCCACACGCGGGTGTGTGGACACCCCGACGGGGTGCGTCCGTCCACACGCGGGTGTGTGGACACCCCGACTGGGTCCGCGTCGCACCCATTGGAAGTTTCGCGACGCGTCTCGGAACGGCGTCGAGTCGGCGTCGAGACCGCGTCGAGACGACGTCGTCCGCGGGCGTCCCGGGCGTCGCCCATGGCGTCCACGGTAAAGCGCGAGGTGAAGCGCCGACGCGGCGCGGCGCGGCGCACGCTCGCGCGCGCGTGCGTGGGGGTGTGCGTGAGTGCGATCGTCATCGTCATCGCGCGGCACCGCGATGGGATAGACGTCGAGGGCGCACTCGACGAGGGAGGGGGAGGATGGAGACTCGATCGGTTCGTCTTCGGTCGCGGCTCGGCGCGAGAGGTCGCGCCCGAGGTCGCGCGGGCGCCGGCGACGTACGAGACGCGAGACGCGTCGACCGGTTTCGCCCCGGATGGGGGACCGCGCGAGTACGGAAACGTCCATCGCGTGTCGTGCGGGAGCGACGCCGCGCTCACGGGGTTTAGATTCGATGTCCAGAGCGATGGAGACGAGAATAAAAGCGTTCGTAACGCGTACGCGTGCGTCGAGGCGAAGAACGATGACGGATTGGCGTTCGGTGGCGCGAACGACGCGCGAGAGACGACGCAAGGGCCCTCGGGATCGAGGTGGCACGGAAGAGACTCTTACGACAACCTCAACGAACACGCGGTGGATTGCCTCGACGCATTTTTGTCGGGTTGGTATCTCAAGCAGTGGAGCAAATCGATGTCGATCGTGTACGAGTGCACGACGGGAAGATCGACCCCGCGGCGCGACGCGTGCGAGACGCTCGAATCCGCGAGCGTCGTCTTCGACGTCGAGGCTATCAGCTCGTTGGCACCCGCGACGGTGTCTTGTCCCCAAGAGCACGCGCTCACTGCGTTCAAATTTAACGGTAACGCTTTTGAGTTTACCTGTTGCCCCAGACCGCAGCTGTGAAGACGATGAATACCGTGGCCCACGAGATGCGACGCGCGATGAAATATGAGTTTGCCCACGTGACCGATGGCGGTGAGGTACCGGTTGCTCGTGAATAATACCCTTTCTAATAGCATTTTTGCGGTACATGATTTATCACACAGCGTGAGGATTTAGAGCGAGCACTAACAAAACAAAACGCGACGCACCGGGACCCGTACTCGTCGCGCGACCATCCTAGGCGTCGTCGGTTGGCGTGGAGAAGTCGTACTCGAGCAGAACGTTATTCGCTCCATCGCAAATGATGCGTTCGGAATCGGCGTACGTGCTACCCAACCACACGGTGTGCCCGAGCACGGCGTAGCGCGCGTCTCTCCGAATCGCCTTTACGCGCTGACCTGGCTTTGAGTCGGTGAGATCCAAATCCCAAACTCGAATCGTTCCGTCCTGCGCGCCACTGACTAGACGTCCGGGACATCCCGTCGCGAGAGAGACCACCGCGGCGGTGTGACCGCGCAGCTCGGCCGCGAGACGCGGGACGCACCGCACCTTTGCGACGCGGTGCGACGCGCGCCCGGGGAGGGAATCGAAACCGGCGTCGTCATCCACCATGAGACGCCAAACCCGAATGATACCGTCACCGCCACCCGTGATGATGCCGTTCCCAGGGCAATGCGCGATGGCCCGCACCGTCGATCCCTCGTGCGCGCTCCATGTCTGCATGACTGAGCTTTCTCCGTCGAATGAGCTCGCCGAGGCGCTCAGTACGGCGGCCGATCCGTCGGCGTTACCGACCGAAATCAAGCCTGTTTTCTCACAAGAGCTCATGCACAACGTCGGCTGCGTATTCTCCCATTCTCCTTGCTTTGTGAGCGCCGGCGACGATTCGCGAACGTAATCTCCCGCGATATCGATGAGCGATTCTCGCGCTCGCTTCGTAGTCGCGTTTTCACCCGCGGCGGTCGCGCGCGGAGAGAGCGACCATCGACAGAGATGACCATCGAGCGCGACGCTCCACAACGAATCACGCGCAAACGTGACGCCGGTAACGACGTTATCGTGCGTCGCGTGACCCAGCTCTCGCAGGGCGGCTGAGTTTTTACTCGCCTCAAAAAGACGCAGAGAACCGTCTCGTCCTCCGGACGCGACAAAGGCAAAGCTCTCCTTATCGCCCTTCGCGGGCACGACCAACGTTTTAAGCGCCATCGCGGTCACCGCTCCTCCGTCGTGCGCGCCGAGGAGCACGCGCTCGCCGAGCGGTCTGTCGTTCGCTTCCAACCAGTCTCTGCCGTGCGCCAAGGGCGCCACCGCGATCGCCGAGGCGTTCACGACGTCGCAAATCGCGACGGTCCCGCGCGCGGAACCCACCGCGGAGTAAGGATACGCCACGGCGACGCGTCTGATGTAATCTGATCCGAGATCGAACGCCACTCGAGGCGTCGCCGCGCCTTCGTTCCACCGCTTGCGCGTCTCCGCCTCGTTCGCTTGCGCGCGAGCGCGCATGAACGACGTAAACTCCGCGTCGTACATCTCTCGGTCCGCCCTCGACGCGCTCGAACGTGTCTCGACTCTGTTCCGTCCGTCCTCCCCCCCTTCGAACGCGCTCGACGCGCTCGAGACCGACGCCGCGTCGCCCGCCGCCTCCGCCGCGTCGTCCCGCCGCGCTTCCTCTCGCGACGAAAACCGCTCGTACGCCCCACCGTCGTTGGCGAAATCGCTCGCATCTCTAGCCACGACGGCGCGACGTCGAACGCGCGTCTCCATCAGCGCCGTCGCGCGCGTTCGAGCCCGCCCGCCGTCGCCGCGCGTTCGCCCGCAATCGCCGCGCGCGCGAAACCGAAACCGCGCGTCGACGCGCCATCGCCCGCGCGTCGTCGCCCCCGTCTCCATCGCCGCGATCGATCGTTCCATACCGAACGCGCGCCGCGCGCGATCGCTCGTCCGTCGCGCTCGCACGCTCGACGCGGATGATGATGAGGAATGAATCCACCAATCGCCGCCCGCGTCGGTGGCGTCGCGAATCGATGCGCGGCGCCCCCGTCGATCGCGCGCACCGACGCGATCGCCCGCGCGTCGACGCGTCCGAGGCGATCGTCCGCGTCGCTTCGCTCCGCGCGCGCGATCGTCCGTCGCCGCCGTCGACGCACGCGCGCGACGATTCGACGCCACCGACGCGGGAGATATTTTCAACGCGACGAACGTCGCGACGCCCCCGAGACCGCGTCGGGGCGTCGCCGTGGGTGCACGCGCGCGGGCGACGACGCGTATTCGACGCATTTTTCGACCGATGATGCGATCGCGTGGGCGACGCGCACGCGTGCGCGCTCGACCGATGGGTCAGTACTCAAGAAGAGGTCGTGTGGTTTCAGGGTTTTATCCCCCGACCCGCGCGCGGGCGATGATGGGGTCGCGCACGCGTCGAACGCGGGTGATGCGCACGAGGTGGTCCAAGAGCGCGTCGACGGCGACGCGGGCCGGCGCGCGCGGGCGACGGGCGGGCGAGCGAGAGGGCGCGACGTCGACGGCGACACACGACGACGAGCCATGGCGTTCTTGCTCGCTTCGAACATCTTCGCCTTCAAGGGCGCGTTCCAGGCGGAGGTGCGTCGCCGCTCGTCGTCGCGCGGACGGACGGGGGAGACGTCGACGTCGCGGGGGTGGCGTCGCGATGGGAGACTGACGATGCGGATGCGTGCGCGCGCGCGCGATAGGTGACTGTGGGTGAGAACGAGAACGCGGAGAGCGCGATTCGACGATTCAGAAAGGCGGTGATGTCTTCCGGTCACATCCAAGAGGTGCGCGTCGTCGCTCGACGCGCGAGATCGCGCGAGAGCTGTGGCTGAGGGTGGAGAATAGGGTTATCGCCCGCGCGGCGGACGCCACGGCGGAGCGAGCGACGCCCACGGCCGCGGTGGAGCGGACGATGATATCGGTGACGCATCACGCTCGGTGTGAGCAAGCGCGCGTGTGACTGACCGAACGCGCCATCGCTCGTTTCTTCGCGAACGCAGACCCGACGCCGTAGGTACTTTGAGAACAAGCAAGACATCCTCAAGCGCAAGCAGTCGACGCCGCGCAACAAGAAGGGTGGTAAGCCGAAGACGGCCGCGCAAGCGATCGCGGAAAAGGAGGCGGCTGCGTTGAATCAGGGTCAGGGTCAGCGCGCCGGTGGTCGCCGCTTCAACAACTAAAAGTTGAGTCGCGCGCGCGGTTTGACACTGTAGAGTTTGAGCGTCGGGCTTCGCGCGTTCGAGAGCGCTCTCGAGACGCGCGCGCGGCGATTTACACGCGCCGCGGTGGCGACGGTCTTATTTTAGCTGATTGATTTCATCACCCCGGTTCGCGGGGCTGTAAAGATGACGAACGACACTTCGCACGTCGACGCCCAAACCCTCGAGGCCTCCATCCACCCCGTCCCTCGCTCACCCTCGACGCGGTGTCGCGTCCGCGGTCGACCTCGACGTCCCGCGTCCCGCCGCACTCGTCGTCGCGCGCGACCGCGCGTGAAGACGTGGACGCGAGGCGTCCGCGGGACGTCTCCGTCGACGCACGCGCGCGGCGCGCGGCACGCGTCGTCGCGCGCGTCGTCTCGAACGACTCGAACGCGTCCTCGGCCGTTGCCCGCGGGCGAGCTCGAGCGAGATCTCGCCCGCGATCGGTGATACTCGATCCCTCGACGTCGTGATCGCGAAAGATGTACGGACAACAACCGTTCCCGCAGCAGCAGCGGATGGAGCGCTCGATGTCGCAGAAGAAGCGCGATCAGGCGGCGGCGCGGAAGGAGTTCAATAACGACTGGCAGACGGGCCTGTGCGGGGCCCCGTGCGCCGATCCCGCGTATTGCTGCTTCGCGCTCTTTTGCGCGACGTGCGCGGCGTACGAACAAAGAAAACTCCAGATGGGCTCGGCGTGGCCGTCGCAGTACGTGTGCTGCAACGGAGGGACGTGCGTCTCGGGCCGGTGCGGCGAGCGGAGCAATCCCGAGCTGTGCCTCTGCTGCGAGGTGTGCTGTTGCTTTCCGAGCGCTATGGCGACGACGCGTTTCATGATTCAAGACGAACAGCGCGTGATGAACACACAGTGCGATAATTGTCTCATCGGGTTCATGCTCATCACGCAACAGCTCGCGTTTTGCTTGCGCTGCCTGGCGAGCGTCACGAACAACCAGGACATCGAGCTGCTCGCGGACGCGGTCGACTGCTTAGCGGACCTCACGTACGCCAGCGTGTGCGCGTGCATGCTGACGCAACAGAACCTCCAAATCAAGCACCGAAACTCGCAGCAGACTCAGGGAAGGCCGGGAGTGATGGCGGCGCCGACGCCGCCGACGATGCAGCCGGGGCGCCCGTCCGCGCCAGTCGTCCTCACTCAAGGACCGCCGCAGCCGCAACCGATGACTTATACGTACACGGCACCACCTCGTCAGGCCCCGCCACCGCGTGCCCCCCCGGCACGCGCTCAACCGCACGGGCAATACACGACCGGGTCGACGTACTATCCGGAATAGAGGGACACATTTGTACTATAACAACGAATCGTGAACGACACAAATTATATGAAACTACTACAACTCTCGCATCTAGGTGCCGTTCCGGTTGGGAAATACTCGCTTACGCTTGCCCCGCGCCCGCCCAGAGCGCCTTGGTTTTGTGCTCGGCGATCTTCGTTTGCGTCACCTCTTGCAACATTTGCTTCGTGCACGCGCCATCCGTCGAGCCGTGCGCCGCGGCTTGGACGCTAGCCATGAGCTTGGATATCTCGCGCCCGCTCAAACCCTCAGTGGCGGTCGCGACCGCGTCGAGGTCCGAATCAGAGATGTCCTTCACCGGAACCGGTCGATCTGGGACGCTTCGCTTGAACAACCCGGCGAAGAAGGACTTGGCACCCTTCTCGTCCCCGGCGTCTGCGCCGCGAACGATGAGTTTATCAAAGTACAGCTTCACCATGCGCTTTCGAGCCTCGATATCCGGAAGACCGATCTCAACGGATTCGTCCATTCGGTCAAGGACGGCCTCATCCAAATCCGAAGGCCGGTTGGTCGCCAAAACGAGCGCGACGTCGCGGTTCATCTCCCCGGTGCGGAACAAGAGAGCGTTGAGCGCGGCGCGCGACTCGCTCCCGGCGACGTCGCTCCCTCTCTTGGCCAAAAACGCGTCAGCCTCGTCGATGAAGAGCAAAAGGCCGTTGCGTGACGTCGATGCCCAGTCAAACATCTCGTGCAATTTCGTCACCGCGTTACTCCCGAGCGGGGCCACGTCACCACCCGTCATCACCGCGTAGTCCAAGCCGCTGTAACGCGCGAGACGCTTCGCCGCCATCGTCTTACCAGTGCCCGGAGGACCGTGGAACAGGATGTTACGGAACGGAGCCGAGTGACGCTTTGTATTCGCCGTTGAAACGGCCAAACGTTGCACGCGCTCTTGTAGCTTGTCCCCGAGCACGACATCACCGAGAATGGCTGCCGGTTGTTCGCCCGTCGCGGCGGCCGCCTTGGGCTTCCAGAACGCCCCTCGCGAGGTTTCTCGAATCAAGCTCGGTTGACCCAAGTACTTCTCGAGCTGGCGGAAGCCGAAGCGCGCGCCTTCACGCGAGGCGTACACCCCCGCCGCGAGCGCGGTGACACTTCCGACGAACATCGCCATGCGCTGCTGGTCCGCCAAGATGGCGTTGAAGCCGCCGCCTATGAGACCGAGCGTCTCTTGCACCAGCTTGACAGCCTTGTCCGTTTCTGCGGTGACCTTGGCGATCATCTGACGACGAATCACGTCCTCGTTCTTTCTATTTTCTGCGATGCGTCCCTCGGCCTCGGCGATGGCCTTGGCGCGCAAGTTTTCTCGCTCGAGCTCGGCGCGATAGCGCTCAGTCTCTCGTCTCTCGCGTTGAATTTTTTCCTCGGTGGCGCGCTTCATCGCCTCCTGTCGCTCGATCCCCTCCTCCTGTAATTTCACCATCTCAGCATTTCTTTGTCTTCGCTGCTCGTGCTCGGTGGCCATGCGTTTCCGCGCCAGCTCATCGTCGTACTGCTTGAGCTGCGCCTGCTGCTGCGACCGCTCCTTCTCCACGCGCGACTGCTCCGACCACATTACCTTTTCCCTTTCCGTCGCGTGCGCCGCCGCCGCCGCGTTCGCCTCCGCCTCTCTCGCTCGTAATTCACCCTGTTTCGTCTGTTCCTGCGTTCGAGACAGCTCCAACACCTTGGTCGCGTACGGAGACGCGTTGATCTCCCGCAGCGCCTTGGCCCCGCGCTCGAGCGCCTCCGGATCGAACGCCGCGTTCGCCCCCGACTTATTCTTCCTCGACGGTTCGATCGACGACGCCGGCGCCGACTTTGCGTTCGCATCACCCCCGTCCACCTTGCCACCACCACCGAATCCGAACGGCGCCGCGCGCGCCGTCGGCATCGTCTGCGTCGACAGTCCAGCCGCCGCGGCGATCGAGACGAGGACCGCGCGCGCGGACGTCATGCGTCGCCCCTCGTCTCGCGCGCGGTTCGACCGAGCGCGCGCGCGTCGTGGACGATCGCTCCGTCGCGGGCGGCGGTGCCGATGCGCGAGCGGTCGAGCGATGACGACGCGACGATGACGATGACGATGACGATTGTTTTTGTTTCACCCTCATCGCGACGAGGGTTGATGACGATGACGACGACGACGTCTCGACCGCGGTGGTGACGCGGTGACGACGGACGACGACGCGCGGCATCGAACGAGGCGACGGATCGACCATCATGCGCGTGGGTTTCATCGGGTACGGGAACATGGCGGACGCGCTGGCGAGCGGATTCGTCGGCGCGAACGTGGTCAAGTTTGCCGATTTGACGATGTGTAATAAATCCAACGTCGAGCGACGCGAGAGCTTCAGGGCGAGGGGAGGGACGGTGGTGGAGACCGCGAGAGACGTGACGGAGAAGAGTGATGTCATCTTTTTGGCCGTCAAACCGCCGTACATCAAGAGCGTGTTGGATGAAGTGCGCAGAGAGATCTCGGAGGAGGCGCTCGAGCCCAAGGTTTTCGTGAGCGTCGCCGCGGGGGTCACGCTCGAGGCGATGGAGGGGGTGTGGACGACGCACGACCAGAAACCACCGGCCATCGTGCGCGTGATGCCGAACACGCCGTGCTTGGTCGGTGCCGCGGCGAGCGGAATATGCAAAGGGTCGACGTGCTCGGAGGAAAGCTTGCACCGAGCGCTCGCGCTCATGTCCACCGTGGGCGTGTGCAAAGTGATCATGGAATCGCAGATGAGCGCTCTGACGGGCGTGAGCGGCTCCGGACCGGCGTATGTGTTCGTGCTCATCGAGGCCATGGCGGACGGTGGCGTTCGAGCGGGACTTCCGAGAGACGTCGCGCTGGAACTCGCCGCGCAGACGTTTTACGGAGCGTCAAAAATGGTGCTCGAAACGGGCGAGCATCCGGGCGTGCTCAAGGACAAAGTGTGCTCTCCGGGCGGGACAACGATCGCGGCGGTACACGCGCTCGAGCAGGCGGGCGTTCGAGCCGCCATGATGAATGCGGTCCTGGCAGCGGCGAACCGAGGCGACGAATTAGCCAAGATGTAAAATCAATGAACTAACGTGTTGATGAATGTATATGGCACGCTTTCGTTAAATTATGAGTGCGCTACGTTTGATGAGGAGATGTTGTTTTTGCGTGCCCATCTGCCTCGACGATCGACGGCAACTCGTCGTACAGTTGTCCCGTAGGACGGTTGAAAGAATAGGGGTGTGTTTGAACATGGCATTGATGGTGAGGGTGGTCTTGTTTTGCGGTCAACGCTTGTTGGTGTCCTTGAACTATCTGGGTCTTAAGGATATGAGGTGTGCGATGCTTCATCACGCCGCCTCGGCGCCGATTTGGACGGGTTTGACGAAAGATTCCGTGTTCACCACGGCGACAGACTTGGACGACACCTCGGTGTTGTCACCCTTGCGCTTGCCCAGGTTGTCAAGCATGCGAGCGTACCAACCATCGGATTCGAGCATGTTGGAAGCGGTCATCATGTGCGCGCCCATAGCGCTGACGGGACGGGACGGTGCTTTCTCGTCCTCGTTGAGGCTCGCCAGTGAATCGACTCGTTTCAAGCCAGCCAAGAACGTGGCGCTGAGCGCTGGCGAGTGCGAGCGCCAGTCATACATGTCCGACGCTGCACTGACGGAGAAGCCTCCCCGCTTTGGCTGTGGCTTCTGCAACGTCGGCACGACGCCGTCGTCCGGTTCGGAGCGCACGGGTTCCGGGGTGCCGCAATCACGCACCGCGCCGTACGGCATCGCTCCCCACTCGTGAATCTCGCCCTTGATATCCTTCAGGCGCTTGAGCTCCATGAGTGACGCTTGAATGAGGTTGTCCAATCCTTGACGCTCCGTAGCGGAAGATTCACCAGCTTTACGCACGTTGTCTAATCGGGAGTCTCCGCTGCTGCGGTCCCCACTACGCCTCTCGCTGAGCTTGCTTGCCTCGGCGCTCGATCGAGAACGCTTTGGTGAACCGCCTGCTTGGTCCACCGTCTCGCCTGGAGAGAGCGATCGTTCGCGCTTCGAGCGACTTGGTGTCATCGGAGCGTTCGCATCGCCCAATCGCGATTGCGGACGAGAAGGTGCCTTGCCTCTGGGAGACGCCGGCGCCGACCCGGATCCGCTCTGCATCGAAGTCGCGCCGCCGCCCTCCTTCTTCTGGCTCGCAATCAGTCTTCGGAGCGTCGAGTTGAATCGGTTCTTCACTTGATTGTCCGTTCTACCCGGCATATAACGTGAGATTACCGCCCACTTGTTCCCGTGAATCGCGTGCTGCATCAGGATGGTGTTATCCTCCTCCGGCGTGAACGGCCCGCGCTTGACGTTCGGGTTGAGTTGGTTGCACCAACGCAAACGGCAAGACTTGCTCGATCGTCCCGGGAGCGCCTCCGCGATCGCGGTCCAGTTACCCGGTCCACCCAATCGTTCGATCTGTTCGCGTAACATTTCATCCTCCTGAGAATCGAGCGAAAAGAAATGGTCAGTCTCGAGCGTTTCATCTCCATCACCAGCCCGGTGACGTGCACGCCGCCGCACGGCGGAAAATCCAAACAGTATGAACAAACAGTATTGGGCGTTACGCCAAGCCCTCGCCACCGTGGGATCTTATCGTCGACGGTGCCGCGCGCGCGCCCGCGCGCCCGTCCCGCCGCCCGCCGCCCGTCCCGAGCGCGCGCGACGGATGACACTCTTTTTCATTCGTCCGTTTTCACCCGTCGCGTCGACCGCACCGGTCACGCGTCTCCCTCGCCCCCGCGCGCATCGTCACCCCGGGGGGTCGTTACCGCTAACGGCGGAGCGTCCCCCCACCGCGCGCGCGCCGCGCGAGCGCCCGCGTCGTCGTCCTCGCGCGCGTCGCCGTCGCGGCGCGTACCTCGGGCGTCCACGCGCTCTTTATGATGCGATCGTCCTCCATCGCGACGTCCTCGACGCTCGAACCACCGCGCACGGCGCGACGCACGATGCCGCGCACGTCGTCGCTCCGCCGCCCACGTCGACGGCGCGCGCGCAACCGTTCGTGGGTGTGATTTTTTGATTTTTTCCTCGCGCGCGCGCGTCGTGGTGACGTCATCACGGCGGCGGTGCGCACGCGTACTGAAGCACGCGCACGCCCATCGGGGGGGCGCGATGGGGACCACGCCGTGCGCGCGAGTGGGCGAACAGTCTAGCACTGGATCCCGTACCAAGACACACACTGTCCGCGTGATGTCGTGCGCGTGTGGGCAAACAGTTCGCGTGATGTCGTGCGCGTGTGGGCGAACAGTTCGCGTGATGTCGTGCGCGTGTGGGCAAACAGTTCGCGCGATGCCGTGCGCGCGACGCCCCGTCGGTGGCGCCCCCGCACACGCGCGCGCCCGTTCGCGTCGCCATGGCGATGCTCGTCGATCGCGTCGATCGCGTCGAGGGCGCGGAGGCGTACTCGGACGATGATTTCGATGAAAACGCACCGGTCGTGACGCACGGCAAGGGCGAGGTGGGTCGACGTCGACGCGCGCGATGACGAGGGCGCGGTCGAAGCGAGGGGAACGAGAGACGAATCGACTCGCGCGAAGACGAACGCGAACGAGCGCGTCGTCGATCGCTCGGTGACGGTAGACGACTGACGAACGTGACGCTGGTGATGTTCGCTGACGACGCAGAAGACGGCGACCGCGAAGACCAAACCGCTGGCGAACGCGACGAACAAGAAGACGGTTGAGGAGATTTACCAAAAGAAGACGCAGCTCGAGCACATCTTGTTGAGACCGGACACGTACGTCGGATCGTGCGAGCGAGCGGAGGAGAAGGCGTGGGTGTACGACGACGCGACGAAATCTTTGGTGCACAGACAGGTCTCGTTCGTTCCGGGTCTTTACAAAATCTTTGATGAGATTCTCGTCAATGCGACGGATAACAAGGTGCGCGACCCAAAGATGAAGGAGCTGCGCGTGGACATCGACGTTGAGCAGGGCATCATCCGTGTGTACAACGATGGTAACGGGATCCCGGTTGAGATGCACAAGGAGGAGGGCGTGTACGTCCCGGAGCTCATTTTCGGTCATCTCTTGACGTCGAGCAACTACGACGACAACGAGAAGAAGGTTGTCGGCGGGCGAAACGGGTACGGCGCCAAGTTGGCCAATATTTTCTCCACAGAGTTCATCATCGAGACCTGCGATGGCTCTCGCGAGAAGAGATACCGACAAGTGTTCAACAATAATATGAGCGTCAAGGGCGAGCCGGTGGTGACAAAGTGCAAGAAGAGTGAAAATTGGACGTGCGTCACTTTCAAGCCAGACTTTGCCAAGTTTGGCATGGAGTCTCTCGTCAACGAAGATGTCGCCGCGTTGATGTGCAAGCGCGTGTACGATGCGGCGGGTAACATCGGTAAGAACACGAGCATCTATCTCAACGGCGAGAAGCTCGCGATCAAGGGCTTCAACGATTACGTAAGCATGTACTTGAACAGCCAGGCGACGGCGCCGAAGATCTTTGATCTGTCCACGGATCGATGGCAAGTGTGCGTCAGCATCTCTGACTCGCAGCAGTTTCAGCAGTGCTCGTTCGTGAACGGTATTTGTACGATGAAGGGCGGCACGCACGTCAACAATGTGGCCGATCAAATTTCTCAGAAGCTGTTGGAGAAGATTCAGAAGAAGGAGAAGACCTGCAAGAATTTGAAGGCGTTTCAAGTCAAGAACCATCTCTGGGTGTTCGTGAACGCTCTCATTGAGAACCCGGCGTTTGATTCGCAGACCAAGGAGACACTCATCACGCGACCGAACAAGTTTGGGAGCTCTTATTCGCCGTCGGATTCCATCATCAAGAAACTCATGGACTCGGGCGTGGTTGAAAACATCATGTCTTGGGCGCAGTTCAAGCAGAGCAAGGAACTGAAGAAGACTGACGGTGCCAAGCGCTCACGTCTGACGGGAATCCCGAAGCTCGATGACGCCAACGATGCCGGTGGACGAAACTCTGAGTCTTGTACTTTGATTCTCACCGAAGGGGATTCTGCCAAGGCGCTCGCTGTGAGCGGTCTCTCCGTCGTTGGCAGAGACAAGTATGGTGTCTTCCCGCTTCGTGGTAAACTTCTGAACGTGCGCGATGCTTCGCATGACCAAATCAAAAACAACGCCGAAATCAACAACATCAAGCAAATTCTCGGTCTGCAGCACGGCAAGGAGTACGATAGCGCCAAATCGTTGCGTTACGGTAAGCTCATGATCATGACAGACCAAGATCATGATGGTTCTCACATTAAGGGTCTTCTCATCAACTTCTTGCACGCTCACTTCCCATCTCTGCTTAAGATTCCTGGTTTTTTGCTCGAGTTCATCACGCCGATCATCAAGGCGACCAAGGGGAAGCAGTCGAAGGTGTTCTACACGTTGCCCGAGTACGAGACTTGGAAGGAGGCGAACCAAGGCTCGGCTGGATGGAGCATCAAGTACTACAAGGGTCTTGGTACGAGCACAGCGAATGAAGCCAAGGAGTACTTCGCGTCTCTTGATCACCACCGCAAGAATTTCATCTGGGAAAGCGATGGTGACGGTGACTTGATCGACATGTCGTTCAGCAAGAAGCGTGTCGAGGATCGCAAAGCTTGGCTGAATGCGTACGAGCCAGGCACATTCTTGGATATGAGCGGCGAGGCGATTCGATACGACGAGTTTATCAACAAGGAACTCATTTTGTTCTCTAGAGCTGACTTGTTACGCTCGATTCCGAGCATGGTGGACGGCTTCAAGCCCTCACAACGCAAGGTTCTCTTCTCATGCTTCAAGCGCAAGCTCAAGTCGGATATCAAAGTCGCGCAGTTGAGCGGCTATGTCTCGGAGCACTCCGCGTATCATCACGGCGAAGCTTCACTCGCGATGACCATCGTCAACTTGGCGCAAGATTTCGTCGGTTCGAACAACATCAACTTGCTCGTGCCGAGCGGTCAATTTGGTACGCGTTTGCAAGGCGGTAAGGATCACGCAAGCCCACGTTACATCTTCACTCGCCTGCATGAGATCTGCCGTGCGATTTTCCCGGAGTGCGACGATGCTCTGCTGAACTATCTTGATGAAGATGGACAACGTATCGAGCCGGACTTCTATTATCCGGTGCTTCCGCTCGTGCTTGTGAATGGCGCCGAAGGCATCGGTACGGGATGGTCGACGAGCATTCCTAACTTCAACCCGCGTGACATCATCTCCAACATCAAACTCGTGCTTGAGGGCGAGGAAGCGCGTCAGATGCACCCGTGGTATAGAAACTTCAACGGCAGCATCGTCGAGGAGATTGTCAAGGGAGATTCTCGTTACACTGTCACTGGCTCTTACATTATTCGTGACGAATGCACGTTGGAAATCACTGAGCTGCCGCTTCGATCCTGGACCACTGATTACAAGGATTTCTTGGAAGATATGCTCGCGCCGAAAACGAAGAACGAAAAGCCTTTCATCACTGACTACAAGGAGTACCACACTGACACTACTGTGCACTTCGTCATCACGATGCCCCCTGAAAACTTGGCCGCGGCGCAGAGCGCGCCCGGCGGCATTGAGAAGAAGTTCAAGTTGAGCACCAAGGTAAGCATCAGCAACATGCACTTGTTCAATGAACACGGTGCGATTACCAAGTACGCCTCACCGATCGACGTTCTGCAAGCGTTCATCCCTCTCCGTCTCAAGGCGTACGCGCAACGCAGAGACATGTTGATTCGTCTCGCTGAGTCTCAGCTCAAACGTCTCTCCAACAAGATGCGTTTCATTCTCGCCGTTGTCGATGGTAGTTTGGTCGTCAATCGTAAGAAAAAGCAGGAACTCATCGAAGAACTCGATGCTTTATGCTATGACCGACTTCCCAAGACGGACAAGGGCACCGTTGCTGAACTTGACGAAGACGGTCAGTTCATTCCGGAAGAAACCGCTGGCGCATCCTTTGATTACCTGCTCGGCATGCCGTTATGGAATTTGACGCTCGAAAAAGTGGAAGAGCTGGTGTCCGAGAAAGAGGGCAAAGAAGCTGAGGTCGCCGAACTTCACAAGACGACCGATAAGGATCTGTGGATTCGGGATCTGGAGAACCTCGAGCAGAAACTCGATCTCCTCGAAGCCGAAGACGAAGAGGCTCGCCAGGTTCTTGAAAGGCAGCAACGTGCGGCCGCGCGCAACAACACTACTGCGGGTAAGAAGGCGGCAAAGAAGAAGCTTGCCAAGCAACGTGCAGCGAACAGCAGCGACGAAGATGAGTGGGATGATGACTTCAGCGATGATGACTTTGAAATCTCGAAGCCAAAGAAGAGGGCTGCGCCCAAACCGAAGGCGGCGCCCAAACCGAAGGCGGCGCCTGCGCCCGTGGCCGCGCCCGTTCTGGAACCGCCGAAGGATGAAAGCGACGCTGAGGAAACGGAACCGATGTCTCTCGCCGAGCGCTTGGCTTTGCGAGGAGGCGCAGCGCTGAGCAAGCCCGCCAAATCGTCTACCGCAGCATTCGATATGTCCTCCATGAGCACGGCGGTGACGGCTGCCGCTGCGAAGAAACCTGCCGCTGCGAAGAAGCCTGCCGCTGCGAAGAAACCGGCTGCTGCGAAGAAGCCTGCGCCCGCAAAGAAGGCTATGTCTGATTCTGAAGATTTTGACGACGAGAGCGATTCTGAAGTGGTCGCTCCAGTGGCGCCGAGATCTACTGCTCGCCCGCAACGAGCACGCCCGGTCAAGAAGTACGCAGTTTCGGAATCCGAAGAAGAGTCTGAAGAAGATTTCTCTGAAGAGGATGACGAAAGCGACTTCAGCGAATCTGAATAAACGATAAAACGGAACTACCGGTACCGGTAACAAACGACGACCGCATTTTTTAATGCGATAAAAATGTAAAAACAATCGACGACTCTCATTTCAATCCTACTCCCTAGTGCATCCATAACCTCAGCATCTTATCCTTGCCCCCACTCGCCGCCTTTGCACCCAAAGGACTCCAGTCGACCGCGTAGACTTCGTCAGCGTGGCCGGGAAGATCCTCCTTCAGCTTCTTCAATCGGCAATCCCACACCTTCAAAGTACTATCCTTGCTCGCGCTCATCAAAAGTCGACTATCGGCGGACCAGGCGAGTTGATACACCGCACCGACGTGTCCTCTAAACGACGTGATAAACTTTCCCGTCGCGCCATCCCACAGCTTGACGCCTTTGTCGAAAGATGCGCTAGCAAAATATCTCCCGTCTGGCGAGAACAAGACGTGATTGATGAGTTGCTGATGCCCCGTCAAACGTTGTAGCGGCGTCTTACTCGTCGATGGTTCCCACATGAACATCGTGAAATCGTCGCTCCCACTCACCAAACGCTCCGGCTTTCCTCCCGTTGCCTCTTTGTATCTCTTCAACGCCTGAGCCTTGGCTTGAGCGTCATTCTCGGGCTTCGCTCCGGTGTGATCGTATGGGCCGGTGCGAAGGGCGTATTCGCTCGACAACGCCAGGGAATTGACCCAGTGCGCGTGTCCTTTCAGCTGTCGAACCACCTTTCCATCCGTGGCGTCCCATACGTATATGGTCGTATCGCGAGATGCGGTATAAATCAAGCCTTCGCCTCCCCACTTCACCGCGGAGATGGCTTTGGTGTGCGCCGACATGGTGAACAGGCACACTCGACGGACGGCGTCCCACACCCGCACCGATCCGTCAGCGCTGGCCGAGCAAAAGCGAACGACGGGGTACGCCACGTGCGCGGGCTCCCACGCGATCGCTGTGACGTGCTTCTTGTGTCCCTTGAGCGGTCCACCGCGCGCCTCGCCTGAGGTCGGATCCCATAACCGAACCGTGTTGTCCATCGAGCCGCTCGCTAAGAAGTTCCCATCCGCACTCCAGGCGATGCACAGCACCCAATTCGTGTGACCCTGCAGCGTATGCTTCGGTCCTTGCGTGTTCAAATTCCATAATCGCACCGTCGTGTCCCCACTCCCACTCGCCAAATTTTTCCCGTCGCTCGAAAAGGCCACGCTCAACACCGCCTCGGCGTGTCCCGAAATGGCCGCCGAGCATCGCGTCACCGCACGCACTCGAAACACGCTCTGCGGCTGAAAAACAATTTGTACCACGCTCTCCACGCTCGCATTTAACTGCTCGAGCGTCGCCGCGAGCTCGCCAATTACTTCCTCGCCGTTGACGTAAAACGCGTGCGGTGCCTCCGCTCGCGCCTCGTCCTCCTCCTCCCCTCGCGCTCGCAACAACGAGCTCAAGAGCGTCTGCAACTCCTTACTCGTGCAGTCGGGAGGTAAATCGAGCTCGGGACCGACCGCGACGCCCTCGACGTCGACCAAACGCGCGATGAGGTTCGTCTCGCGATGTTTCACAGCCGCCGCCGCCGAATCGACGACGGTTTCATTCGGTTTCGCTCTCTTGTTCGTTTCCGCGGACATCTGCGGTGTCGAGCGAGCGTGCGCGCGCGCAACGTCACGTTTAGGGTTTAGGTTACGTCACGCGCGATGCGCCGAAGTTGACGGCGTCGTCGCGCGCGCGGCAACGAGTATGGGTGTGTCGTTGCAAGCTACGGCGGAACTACGGCGACGCGAGGCTGCGCGTTCCTCAAATCCAACACGAGCTCGCATCCGCGAAAGAGATCGACGCACACGGCGCCGTCGGCGTGGGGTGAGATATCTGCGTCCGGGGGATCACCATCGAGGTGCACGACGGCGCGAACGTTCTTGAACTCGAAGCCTTTGAACCGTATGGTCTCCATGCGACCCGTGACGATTTCGTCGCCGACGCGTTGGAGGCGGCCAGCGGACTCACCGGGACCGCTCATCACCCCACCCGGTTGCAGCGCCTTTGTACGCTCAGCGAGTTCGGCCTCCTTGGCGACTCGAGCCGAGAGCACGGCACCGGTACCGCCGGTGCCGAGAGAAAGCTTGAACAATCCTACGCGCTCGTCAGTCATTGCCGTCACACCCTTGAATCCGTCGTTAGCGACCGTGTATGCCAGTTGAACGTGCGGTACACCGTCGATGAACGTGACGTCCTGCCACGCGCGCTCGATTTCACCGCTCGGGACGTACGATTCCGGGTCATGGAACTCCACGGTGAGCTTAGGAGCGTCTCGACTTCCTGGCACGCGCATCGGGGCGTGCAAGCACACTATTGAGTGCGCCAAAGCGGGCACACCGAGAACCCCAGTGAGTCTTTGGCCGTCGGGGACGCGAAGTGCGCCGTCCAAGTTTTGTTCCATGAAAATCGGGGACATCATTCGAAACGATCCGATCGAAATCTCGCGACCGCGCCGCAGAGCGCCCTCAAGAGGGGCGGCTATGCTCGCGACGGCCATCGAGCCGAACGATGGCATCGAACACGAGTCCGCCGCCCAAGGCGCGATGACGAGCCCGGTCGACGCTGTGTCGAGAACGAACCATCCCTCGTCACCAGACTCGAGCGTGGCTTTTACGAGTACGTGTCCACCGTCGCCACGAACCGCCGACAAGGTGCTCGATTTGCTGCTCCACGATCTCTCGGATGTCGACGTCGAAGCCGGCATCGCGAACGACGCATCGCCATCAGTCGTCGCCGTCGTCGTCTCCGAAAGATACACCGTTATTTGACCCTCTGAATTCTTTCGTCGAGCCACGCTCGGGGTTGACGCGACCGTACCGTCGTCTAATTTGACGTCGTCCCATTCCTCAAACGTCCACGTCTCCACGCCGCGCTGATGGTAAAACTCCGCCCGCCACGGTTTTTTGGTCGACTCATCGACGAACACACGCGCCCCAATCTTTCCACCATCCAACACCGTCATCGCGTACACGCTCGTCGCGCACTTTGGCGCGTGATCGAACGCTCGACCGTCCTCGGCCGGCGGCGCTCGGTTCTTCTTCGGCGCCCTCTGCGCTCTCCGCTCTCGCGCCCCACTCTCCTCAAACCTCGCTCCGTACTCGCGCACCGCCCTCGATGCGTCCAACCCGGTCGCCAGCGTCTTCACTCGCAGCAGCGCCCTCGCCCCGTGGTTCCACTGATTCGTTCGCACCCACGTCTGCATTGAACTCAGGTGCGACCCGCTCGACGCGTTCGCCCGCGCGTCGCCGTACCAATCCACATCCCAGCACCTCCCGCGCGCGTCCCGCCCGCTCGTCGCCGTCAACCGTCCCCCGTCCTCCCTCGACGTCTCCAACGCGCACGTCTCACCGTGCGCGGACGACGTGGTGTCGACGACGAGTTCAAATCGTCCATCGAGGCCTCTCGACCGCATCGACCCTGTCGTCGTCACCACCGCCGACGGTGTCGTCGTCGATCGACGTCGCGGCGCCGGCGCGGACGTCGACGTCCATCGCGCGCGCGCAGGCATCGCGCGCGCGCGCGAGCGCGGTGTGCGGCGCGCGCGAGCGGGAATGAATGCGTCGGTGCGCCACGTCGTGAATGAATGCATGCATGCATGGTCGCGCACACCTCGACGCCATGGCCGCGAACGACGGTGAGCTCTCGCCCGCGCGCGGCGGTGCGCGCGCGGCGGTCGCGGTACCGGTAGCGCGCGCGAGCGGCGCCGGTGGCGGTCACGCGGGTGACCGCCTCGAGCGTCATCAACATCAGCATCAACATCATCAACATCAACATCAACATCATCATCACGAAGACCGCGTCGGATGGGGCGGGCGGGCGTCGCACGGCGACCGAGGAGACGCGCGATATGGGCGTGATGGAACGCCGCACGCGCGGGTTGGACGAGACGGCCGCGGGAGGGGACGACGGAGCGGAGGCGGTGGACGAGGGCGAGGCGACGACGGCGCGCGAGGCGGCGGCCGAACGGGTCGAGGTCGAGGACGCGGACGGGGTTTCGGTGGATTGGGGGGCGGTGGATACGAGTACGGGTACGATGCGCGATTCATCAAGCCGAGGCGGGAGCCAAAGGTGAATTACGCGTCGAAGATCAAGCGATGCGTGCACACGGGGGACGTGAGCGTCGGGTTTCAGTGGTTCTCGGCGGCGTGCGAGCGATATCGGAGAGAGGTGGCGATGGGAATCTTTGAACGCGCGGGTGGGGATCCGCGAACGACGTGCCCGATGGGGATCGATGAGACGACGTATTACAAGCTCATCGCGGCGTTGATCAAGGAGACGCACGCCGATCACGCGAGCGAGGTGTCGCGCGCGATGGCGGCGTTCGGCCTGAAGATGTCGACCAAGAGGTTCACGGAAATCATCGCTAGCGTGCCGTGTCGAACGCGCGCCAAAGAAGCACTGGCGTTTGTTGACGCGTGCTGCAGAGGACCGGATTTCAGCGACGAGTTCCCGTCCACGAGCGCTCAGGGAGGGATTTTAGAATTCGGCGACGTCGCCACGGCGACGTACTTTACAAAAAATATGCGTCTGCTGGTGATGGAGTTTTGCGAGGAGTCCAGTCAGATCATGGATCGAATCAAGAAGCGCTCAACGAAATCACTCGAACAAGCGGGCACGTGCTCGCTCAATCTCGTCGCAAAACCGTCAAAGATCAAGGGTGGAAGACTGTGCCTGTCGACGCAAATGCTGGCAGACGCGCCGAACTCCCTGCCGCGCATGGCGTGCTTGAAATCGTTAGAAGACGGAAAGAGGGGCGTGCAAGTGGGTGATAGCGTTCTAGTTCGGCGATACCAACCCGCAGTCGCTGTAGAAGAGGACTCGTCCGAGACTGAGCCGGAGTCTACTCCGACAGAAGTTGCGGCGAACTCATCGCTGAAGGCGAGCGCGGCGGCGTTTGTGCCGAAACCAAAGGCACCTAAACCGCTCGCCGCGCCGGAGACGCCCATGGAGGAATACGAAGGTGTCGTGGAGATCGTGCCGTACACTCTCAACGAATTACACGTCAAGCTCGATCACGGGGACGTTCAGGAGCTTTACGGGGACGATTGGCGCATCGATCGGCTGGCGAACAGAATCACGTTCACGCGTCAGGTCGAGTCTTTGTATGAGCTCCTTGAGCCGAACGATCCAACGAAAAAAGCAGTGTGCAACACGAACCCAGTGTTCCGCCAGATTCTCACAGCGGGCTTTCAACGATCTATGAAGGAGCTGGCTGATGACCTCGCCGCGGCTGTGGGATCGCTCAACATTCGCGCCGACGATGCGTCCGACCCGGACGGCACGACGAACGGCGTCACCCCCAAAGAACACAAGTTTCGCGTGCACGAGATACCGCCGTGGCAGCCGGGGTGTGAAATGATAAATCTTGAGGCGGTTCCCATGCTTTGCCAAGGGATTATCAATCCCACTGGCGACTTGAAGGCGCCAGGTCCGTATGATCGCGTGGTGGACAACATCACCAGGAATCACGGTCTGAACGCTTCACAGCGAGATGCCATGAAGGCGGCACTCGAACGTCGGTTAACGCTCATTCAAGGTCCACCCGGGACGGGGAAGACGCACACGTCGGTCGCCATCGTCCGAGGCATGCTGGAAATTGGGCACGGACCGGTTCTGTGCACGTCTGACTCGAACACTGCGGTGGACAACATGGTCGAGGGATTGGCAAAGGCGGGCGTGAATGTCATTCGTTTGGGGCGACCAGAAGCCGTAAGACCTGATCTCGCCCGATATCAAATCGAGAACGCCATCCCGCCGGGGGCGACCAAGCACGAAGCGTACGAGGCGCAACTCCGTGCCGTGCGATACGCCCAGGCCATCTGCGCGACGTGTTCGGGCGCTGGTAGCGACTTCCTTGACAGAATCAACTTCAGTGCTGTGATGCTCGACGAGGCGAGTCAAGTTACAGAGCCTATGTCGCTCGTGCCTCTGGCGAACGGGTGCCAACAACTCGTGCTCGTGGGTGATCATAAGCAACTTCCTCCGACGGTGGTCTCGCGCGAGGCGGAGCTCGCGGGTATGACGCTGTCGCTGTTCGATCGTTTGACTCGCGCCGGTGTGAAGCCGTACTTACTAGACACGCAGTTTCGCATGCACCCTGCGATCAGTCACTTCCCTTCCCACTCGTTTTACAACGGTTTGGTGAAGAGCGGTACTCCGGCGAAAGACAGGCCGGCACCCAAGGGATTTCAGTGGCCGATCCCGAGCGTACCCATCGCGTTCTGTCCGACTCCGGAGAACTCGAAAGAGACGAACGATAACCTGAGTTACTCCAACAGAGTCGAGGCCGAGCGCGTACTCGAGATCCTTCTCGGTGTGCTCAGCGCGGGAGAACTCAGACCGTGTCACGTCGGCATCGTTACACCTTACGCGGCGCAGGTCAAGTTGATTCGGTCCATGTTGCGCCAGCGAGGCGTTCGTACGGGTGTTGACAGAGACACTGGTGAGGCTGGAATCGAAGTTTCTTCGGTTGACGGCTACCAAGGACGGGAGAAAGAGCTCATGATTGTCTCGACCGTTCGCGCGAACGATCTAAATACCATTGGTTTCGTCGCGGACGCGCGTCGCTGCAACGTCACCCTCACCAGAGCTCGTAGAGGTGTCATCGTCGTCGGGCACGCCTCGACGCTCTCAAAAGATCGACGCACGTGGGGTCCTTGGGTGCGCTGGGTGCGTAATGCCGGTCTCACGCTCGGCGTGAAGGGTCGACGAGAAGATATCGCCGCCGTCAAAGCCATCGAAGCCGACTCGCAATCCGGCGCTCCGGCAACGCGGCTCGTTCCCGCCCCACGCGGACTCGTCCCTCGCGGTTACCGTTAGCTCGCTCAGATTGTCACGTTAGGATCACGCGTATTCATTCAATTCAATTCATTCACTCATTCACTCACGCCGCGGTAACTTGCGTCTCGGCATGTTTTCATAATGCGCCGGTACAATTTACAGTCGTTTACATCGCCGCGGGTTCGACGAGGATTTCGCCCACTAACGCGGTCGGATGAACTCGAAAAACCATCTATCGTGACCTAGATTTCGTCGCATCTCCATAACGTTCTCGCCCGTCGGCACGTCTCTCGCGTCATCGCACGTGAAGTACCGAATGCCTGCGTACTCGCCGCTCGCGAGTTTTGGAAAATTTTTGGCAAACCATTCGTCGAAAGCCTCATCGACCGGAAGCTTTCCCTCGCTCACCGCGATGTCGCGAAGACCGTGATAGACCGAAGGAAACTCCAACGACGTACGCTCACCGAATCGAGCGAGCTCGCGCATGATCAGATCGTTTCGCACGCGTTTTTCTCCCGTCCACGACTTCGAGTCCTCGTCCCTCGTCGATTCCGTCCGATCGTCTCCGGGACACAGACCTAAGATTTGTCCCGCAAACTTCACAGCTGACAGTCGAGACACCGGATAATCATCGACGACGTTATACACATCGCTCGCCTCGTCCCCCGCGCGCGCGATCGCAGCGATGACGTTCGCGGCGTCTCGCACGTGCACGCGACTCGTAAACGCGCGAGCGTCCCTCGCTCTCGAGCTCGCACTCTCGGACGCGTCTTTCCCCGCTCGCCTCATCGCCGTCTCCAGCGCGCTCCTATTTGGACCGTAAATACCACCCAAGCGAAAACTCACAGCCTTGAGCGCGCCGTTCGAGCGCGCCGCGAGCGCGCGCCACTTCGATTCCGCGTCCAAGCGCGCGCGCGCCTTATCCGAGTCCGGCGCGCACGCGCTCGTCTCGTTCACCCACCCCCCCCCGTGATCGCCGTACACCGACGTCGTGCTACAGTATCCAAAAAACCGCGTCACATTCGTCCCATCCGGGTGCGCGCTCGCCAGCGTCTCCGCGTACGCGTCGTACACCGGGTCCGACCACGTTCCGTCGCTCGCCTCCACCGGCGGCACGCACGACACCACGACTCGCGCGCGTCGAACGCACGCCGCGACGTCGGCATCGAACCCACCGTCCCACGCGCGGACGTTGCGCTCCTTGACGCGTCCAACCTCCGCGCTCCGCGTCGTCCCGCGCGTCGTCTTCGCGCCGTCGTCCCGTCCGAGCGCGCGCGCGACCTCTCGCCCGAGAAACCCCATCCCGAACACGAACGCGGCGTCGGACTCGGACGTCGACGTCATCGTCACCCCCCGTCGCGGTCGCTCGAGACGCGCGCGCGCGGCGCAGCGCGATGCGTTTTCAATCACCGGCCGTCGATTCGTCTTCACCGCCCTCGCGCGTCGTGTGTCAACCTCCAGACGCCTCCGGGAGACGGTCGCGCGCGTTCGAGACGTCGACGTCGCGCGCGTGCGCGGGCGCGACATCGCGACGGGCGCCGAGGGGCGACGACGCGCGCGCACGACCGCACAGCGCGTCGCGCAGTGTGGACATTCTCGCGCTGTGGTACATGGATGCGCGCGCGTCGCCGCGTGCGTCGCGCGCGCGCGCGCCTCGATCGCGCGGCGCGACGCGAGCGACGCGAGCGACCGCGAGGCGGGGCCTCGCGCGCGGACGTCGCTCGACGATGGCGTCGTCGAGCGATTCGTTTGGTTTGAGTGATGATGTTTCACAAAAGACGCTCGAGACGACGTTGTTGCGACGCATCGACGGCGACGACGGCGACGGGAAGGTTCTGGAGACGTTGAGAGAACTCACGTCTACGTTTGACGCGTCTTCGCTCGCGATCGAGCGCATCGCGGAGATGAGCGAAGGGACGTGGACGCTGAAGTTTTCGACGAAGAGCGCGTTCGACGCGACGGCGCCGCTGGGAAGACGCGCGGACGGGACCGCGCCCGGGATCGAGGCGGTATTCGCGGGATTATTCCCGGCGAGTGATTCGGTGGGCGAACGGGGAGACGGGGCGAGCTCGAGTCCGATTCAGAGATTGGTGCTCGACCGACTGCGCGAAGGCGGTTTCGCGGTTCGACAGGCGGTTCGCCTGGACGGGGCGCGGGGAAGGGTGGACCAGGCGGTGTGCTTCGGCGGTGATTTCGGTTGGTTTCGTCTGAGCGCCAGGGCGTCGGTGAACGACGGTAAGGCGTCACCCAGCGCGCGCGGGAGGATCGATTACGGGTTCGATTTAGCGTACGTCGATTTGAAGAAGCCATTCGAGGCGCGTTTGCCGTACCCGGTGCCTTTCAGGCTTCTCGGGAAAGAAGCAGAGGGATATTTAACGTGTGATTACGTCAGCGACGACGTTCGTGTGTGCACTGGGAACAAAGGCACGACGTTCGTGTTCGTCAAGGAGGCGCGAGACGCGCTGCCGTACGCAAAGGAATTCTACGGGTAACTAACTTCACTTCATTCGTCAACAACCACCGCTCCCTACTCGTTCATCGCCGCTTTCGCACCCGAGCGTTCGTTCTCGCGTTTGCAATCACGTCCGTCTTACTCGAGAACACCGCGATTAAGACGACGATCGCGCCGATGACTACCGAGACATCCGTCGCCGCGCGCACGAGTCCAGCGCGCGATGTGTCGCCAACCGGAACCTCCCACGTCCCTCCACCCGTTGACGCCGCGACGTGTAGTCCACCGTCTCGCTCGCGCATCACCACAAGAGCGGGTTTCACGTCGTACGTCACCGATCCACCGCCAGATCGCGCCTCGCCGTATCTCGCGTGCGCCTTGAGCGTTAAAGGAAATCCGTCCTCCCTGAAAGTCGATTCATCTTCTGTAATCAATCGCGCACACGACGCCGTAGACGTCCCGGACGCCGATGCCATGCGCTCGGGATCAACATCTCCCGACGCCACGCATCTCCACCCATCGCTCCGCGTCCCAGAGATTTCGTCGGCGTCGTAAAACAACCCACGAGGAAGCTCGTGCGCGATCGCAACCGATGTGAATCTATCCACCAAGTCCTCCCGTGCGTTCGATTCGACGACGATCTCTCCGTGAAATCCCTCGCCGCGCGCGCGCGTCATCACGCGCACGCGATCTCCGTCGACGCTCGACGTCCACGCACCCTCGAGCGCGGTAGAGAGGTCGTGTAACGCGCGGTCGAACGCATCGTCGCGCATGATGAATCGGGAAAGATTCCTTCACCGTCGTCGACGCGCGCCGTCGTCGAGCGCGCGCGCGCGTCGCGAGGGACGAAAGAATTACGCTCGACCGAGCGCTTCGCCGCGATGCCCGTTCTCCGCGCGCGCGCGGCGCTGTGGAGGTTTCACAGGCGTCACTCATCGACGCGCCTCCATCCATGGCGACGCGCGCGCACGCACCCGCGTGGCGCGCCGCGATCAAGCAGGCGCTGAAGAAGAATGGGAAAAATCCAACGTCCAAGTACGCGCAGCTCGCGACGGTGGACGCGCGAGACGGCGCGCCGAGCGTGCGAACGGTGGTTTTTAGAGGTTTTCTGGATGGTTTCTTCGACGACGACGACGCGAACGCGTCGAGCGACGGCGACGGCGACGCGCTCGTGTTCTGCACCGATTCGAGGAGCGAGAAGGTGCGGGACGTCGTGGGCGACGCGAGGGCGGAGATGGCGTGGTACTTTCCAGAGACGAGGGAGCAGTTTCGAGTGCGAGGGACGCTGACGGTTTCGACGGCGACGACGACCGGGGACGAGCGAGAAGCCAGGGCGAGAGGTAATCTGTGGAGAAAGATGCGAAGGGGGGCGCGAGGGCAGTTCCTGTGGCCCACTCCGGGCGGGGCGCGATCGGACGTGAGTGATGGGGAAGCGGATCCGCACGCGGTGGAGGAGAGCGACGCGCGGTTGGACGACGAAGTCGTGGGGGAAAATTTTGCCCTCGTCGCGCTTCGAGCGAAGCGCATCGATCATCTCAGCCTGAAGCGAAACGAGCGAGTGGTGCACGAGGAGGTGGACGGTGAGTGGGTGTCGACGCGCGTGAACCCTTGAGAACAATTGTGACTTTGTATTACATCGCGTCGCGTCGTCGAGCCGTCAAATCCCTCCTACGAGAGCGCCGAACGATCACGCGTCGCATCGTCGTCGTCGTCGTTTCAACAACGCATTCAATTCAAACGAGAAGCGCGGCGTCTCACGCTAAACCGGCGAGAATGATCCCGAACACGAGCGCGCGTTCGCCCATCGGAGAGTTGCACGCCGGCAACAGTCGATGCGCGCACGCCCAGAATCTACGCTCTTGCTTATCCCACCACCCGTCGTGAAGTGCGTTCTCCGCCGCGCGCGTGCGCAGCGCCTTTGAGCTAAACTCCTCTACATTCTTCTGATACTCGATCGGCAGCCGCGGTCGCACCCAGGCGTTATACATCATCCACGGCGACGCGCTCAGCGCGCGCATTTTCCACAAGAGCTGCGTCGTAAACGCGAACAACGCCACGGGCGCGAACAATCGCTTCAGCGCGAGTTTGATCGCGTAAAAGATCACAAAACCATACAGACAACTCGTCCCCATGTCCCCCAGCGTTCTCACCTTTCGCTCGTGCGCCGCGCTCGCCGCGTCCGCCCGTCCCGCCCGTCGCGTCCCGAGCGCCGCGCCCAGCCCGAGCGCCATCCACCGTCCTCGTCGTCCGAATCCCTCGCCACCGCCTCCGAAACCACCCCACCCTCCAGACGACCCCGCCCCTCCGTCGTCACCGCCGTCACCGCCGTCACCGCCGTCACCGCCCGCGCGCGTCGCGTCAACGTCGTCCGTCGTCCAATCGCATCGCACCGACCCCGATGTCGATCGCCGTCTCGTCCGCCCTCCACCGCGCGCGCTCGACCCCACGCGCGCGCGCGCGCGCGCGTCGACCCGCCCCCGCGTCGGTGCCCCGCGCGCCGCCCGCATCGCGCGCGTCGCGCTCTCTCGCCGTCGCCGTCATCGATCGATGCGGTCGTCGGTCGTCGGTCGTACACATCACAACGCGTCGCCGCGCCGTCGCGCGCGCGATTCATGGCGCCGAGCGACGAACGAGCGTGCACGCGCGCGCTCGGTCTGGAGGGATCGGCGAATAAGATCGGCGTCGGCGTCGTGCGCTCGGACGGGACGATCGAATCGAATCCGAGGGAGACGTACGTCACGCCGCCGGGCTCGGGGTTCTTACCGAACGACACGGCGAGACATCACCGAGCGCGGGTGGTTGACTTGGTGCGAAAGGCGCTGCGAGAGGCTGGGGTGACGATGGGGGAGATTGACGTGGTGGCGTACACGAGGGGACCGGGGATGGGGGCGCCGTTGACGGCTGTCGCGGCGTGCGCGCGAACGCTGGCGGGTCTGTACGATAAACCGATGGTGGGGGTGAATCACTGCGTGGCGCACATAGAGATGGGACGGTTGGTGACGGGGTGCGATGATCCGGTGATCTTGTACGCGAGCGGAGGGAACACGCAGGTGATCGCGTACAACGAGCGGAGGTATCGCATATTCGGCGAAACCATCGACATCGCGGTGGGGAACATGTTAGACAGGTTCGCCAGGGTGTGTGGGCTCAGTAACGACCCGGCGCCGGGGTATAACATCGAGCAGGAGGCGAAGAAGGGGAAGAAGTTCGTGGAGGGGCCGTACGGGGTGAAAGGGATGGACGTCAATCTGAGCGGTATTTTAACCTTTTACAAGACGTACGCCGAGGAGAATTTGGGTAAAGGTGAGGTCACGGTGGCGGATTTGTGCTTCTCGATGCAAGAAACTGTGTTTTCGATGCTAGTTGAGATCACTGAGCGCGCGATGGCGCACGTGAATGCGAAGGATGTGATGATCGTCGGCGGCGTTGGATGTAACTTGCGATTGCAAGAGATGATGGCCATCATGGCGCGCGAACGCGGAGGCAAACTGTACGGTCTGGACGAGAACGGCAGAATGGATGATCGATTTTGTATTGATAACGGTGCGATGATCGCGCACACCGGGTTGATTCAGTACTTGAACGGGGAGACGACGCCGATCGAGGAGACGGAGTGCACGCAACGATTTCGCACGGATGAGGTCCTCGTCACGTGGCGAGACAAGGCGGGGACGAAGCGCACGGCGGAGGGTTCGCCAGCGGCTTCGTGATCGAACACAAATGGCGCGCGTACCTAGGAATAGATTTTGTCACAGTTTGAATGAAGCTAATTAGCTAACAAGACAAGCGAGACGCTTCCTCACTCTTTGCGAAGTGCACGGCGGCGACGAAGTGAGTGAGCGCAAAGCCTTGCTCACCCTTGTGCGCGTTCGAAAGCAAAGCATGGAACGTCTCGACGTACTTCACCAGAGAAAATATTTGCGGAGTCTTCGCACGAGCGATCAGAGCGACGAGGACGAGGAGCAAGTCGTCGGCGCTCATGGGTTCGTCGTCGCTTCCGCCGAGTCGTAACGCACGAGACGTCACGGACGCCATTCGAATCGCGACGTGTGCCGGGCACGAGAGCCCGCTCATCGTTGCGATCGAGTCGATGAGCTCATTATCGCTCACGACATTGCCGTATCGCGCGGTATCCAAGCCGAGAGCGTCGATCGACAGAGGCGCCAACTCCTCGAAGCGTCGTGCGACGAGCGCCTCTTCGTCACGAAAGGTGGGACATATTCCCTCATCCAGGATCTTACGCTGAATCGTACCCATGACGTACCCCTCCACCGTGACCACGAGCGACTCTCGATGCTTGGGTGTCGTTGAACAGCTCTCGAATCGTCCTCCAGCTCTCAACAACGCCTGTAAAAGCGCCTCGCATAGGTCCGTCGCTCGTCGTCTCCAAAACTCCAATAAATCATCCGCTCCTAAAAACTCCCCATCCTCGGCGCGAACCTTGGTCTTCACCACCCACCGCGCCAAGCGCTCGTCCATCGCGTCCAGAATCACCCCGGCCTCCTCGAGCGATCGCAAGACTTGCCGACATTCGTCCGCGCTCTTGAATGCCTCCGCCGTTCCCCACAGTCGCTGCATCTCCGCCGCGCGTGCGTCCACCTTGCCCTCGCCCGCCAACTCCGCCGGTTTTCCCGGGTAAACATTCGGTAGAACGCTCGACTCGATCTCGTTATCGGAATTGTTCTCGACTTGATTCATCACCAGCGCGTCTTCGTCTTCTTCGCCAAAAAAGTATCCGCCGGATTTTCTCCCGCGTCGCGCCCACGACGTCCCACTCGATCCCCCGCTCATCGTGCGTCCGAGCGGGGACGGTGTCTCGCACTCTCCTCGACCACTCATCGGACTCACGATTGCATCAGCTCGCAAAACGACTTCCATCTCTTGCTCGACGCCGCGCTCGACGTTCGCCATGGCTCGCGCACCGCTCGGCGTCCCTCCTCTCCCTCTGCGCTCGTCTGCCCACTCGTCCCCGTCCTCCGCGAGCAATGCGTCCCAGAGCGATGTTAAGAACCCCTTGAACGTGTTCGGCGACGCGGCGTCGGCGTGCGCGAGACCCTTTCGGGGCTGATTCGTTCGATTGCGTGTCCCGCTGGGTGTCTCGACATTCTCTTCTTTCTCCTCGACGCGCTCGATGCGCGGACGACCGCGACCGTAGTCCTCGTCGAGGAAGAGTCTGGCGACGTCTTCCATTTGGAGGCGATTCCGAGCGATGAAGAACGTCGTCGACGTGCGAGGGATGCGAGATGATTAGTGAAGGTTGATTGAGCGAAGCGCGCTTCCCGGCTCGTCGAAGACAAATGTATTGAACTTATGTATAATGTCTCATTCGGTATGGCATATTACAACTAAGCGACGTCGCTCTCGATCGAGCGAGTCTCGAACTCATAACAATAACATCGAACGATTCAGCTCGGCGTCGGCTCGACGTCGAGACCGCCAAATGTCATCACGCATTCACGCTTAGACAACCACTTCCTTGATAGCGTGGATGAGACCGTTGCCGACGGCGATGTCGTTCTTCTTGAACTTGAGACCGGCGGTGGAGACCTTCTTGCCGGAGATCATGGTGACCTCGGCCGGGAGGTTCTTGGAGTCGAACTTGCCGACCGCGACGTGGTTCAAGCAGAGCGTCTTGAGTTCCGGGTAGTTCATCAACTCAACCTTGGACAAGCCTTGAGTCTTGGCGAAGTCACCCATGGCGTCATCATCCGGGGCGAACACGGTGATCGGGCCTTCTTGCATGTACGAGTCTTCGGCGCCAGACTGCGCGCGTGAGAAGACGAACGCGTTCGGTCAGTCTCGGTAAAATCGGGTGTGGGGGGTCTCGCTCGCTGGACGTCTGCCATCGCGAAGTCATCGCCCTCGTCGACGACGACCGAGGGCGCTACGCGTTCGTGAAACGGGGTGAAACGAATGCGAGTATTTTTAACTCGCATTTACCCGCGTCCGATCGAGGTTTGCGCCGTCGACCAAGACGCGAGCGACCCCTCATGAAGCCTCACGCGCGTGACAACCTCGCGACCTCGCGAGGCGTCCGAGTTCGTCGTCGCCGTCGGTGTGCACGCACCTTGGTGATCGCGGCACCGAGGAGACCGTAGGCCGCGGCCTTGACGATCATCGCCATGGCGCTGAAGATGCAAAGATCGCGCGCGCGTCGTCAGTCTCGAGATCATCGACGGAGACGCTCGCACCCTCGAGACGAGAGCGGATAAGCCAATCGGAGACCCATCGCGCGGGGGCGACGCCGCGTCGAAGACATCGCGCCCTCGGCGCGGGGTACGATCGATGAAAATATTTTCATCGCGTCTTTTCGACCCATCGGCCGTGCCCTACGCCCATCGCGCGCGTGTTCGAGCGTCTCGAACGCGCGCCCATGGTCCCGATCGCGTCATCGCGTCGCGTGAGACGTACGAGTTACCGAAATCACGGGCACCCTCTTCGCCCCCCTTGGAGTTACGGCGAACGATGGTTTGGCCGCGCTTTTGCACCTTGGCGGAGGTGACGTTGACCGCCTTGGCGGAGATGGTGAACTTTTGAGCGAGCATGTTTCGTCGTGTGCGTGAGAGTGACGACGGCGCGGTTTTGGATGACGATGATGACTGTGTCTTCGTCGTCGACAGACACTTTTAGGGGTCATGACTCGTCCATCATATTATTCCCCGTGGTGACATATTACACTCGCGCGCGCGCGTCGACGACGCGCGTGTCGCGATTAAAAGCTCCGTCCTACGCGGTGACGCACTTGGCGACGTCGGCGTTTGAGATTTCGATGAAATCGAATCGCGCGTGTCGAGAGACGAAACCGGGGTACGCGCATTCCACCTTGTCATGCTTTTCGTGACAGTATCGACCCTGCTCGCGAGACATGACGGCGTACTCGTACGTAGCGCCCTCGGTGACGTTGGCGATGATAAAATCCGCCGAATCATCGAGCTCGTTCTCAACGTTCGTCGCGTTCACTCGCTTATCACACGCGATGACGAGATTCTTCCACGCCGGCGCGCCTCGACTGAGCTTTTCGTCGGCGTCGGTGACGCAGTAGTACACGTCGTCGCCCGACCCGCGATGTATCCGTCTATATCTCTCGTCTCTCGGGTTCTTCGTGACGAAAAACCGCTCCGGTTTCTCTTTCGTCGCGTTCGCACTGCACGCGCGCGAACACGAGATCCCATCCTTAACCGCGTCCTCGTCGCGCCCCGTCGCGAGCGCGCAGTAATTCTCCGTCTCCCATCCTTGGCCCTTGAAACTCCCTCTGATCACGTACGTCCCCGGTTCCAGCGTCGACGTCGTCGGGCGTTTCGAGAGCGACCCCTTTATGAGGTACAGGACCCCCAACGCCGCGCACAGCGTGAGCGCGAGCGCGCTCGCCATCATCGGCGCCGTCCATCCCATCGCCCGTCGTCGTCGCCGCGTCGCCCCCGTCTCCCCACCCGTCCGCAGCGTCGTCGCGAGCGGCGTGCGCTCGTCCACGACGCCGTCGGACGTCATCGTCGCCGTCCTCCGCGCGCGCGTCGACGCGCGCGTCGAAGTGGTCGAGCGACCGCGGTAACACCCTCGCGCGCCAATCGCGACGCGTTCACGAGTCCGCAGTCGTCAACTAAACCCTAGATGTGCCCGTTTTTTCGGACCGTCGCCCGTTGAAATCGCCGTCGATGCCGATTGGGTCGGGGGAACGTCGCGCGCGCGAGCGCCGTGGGTGACGCCCGTGAACCCCGCGCGTGCGCTCGCGCGCCGCGGTCGCCCGTCAGACGGTCCCGTCGACGCGCGCGGTGCGAGCGATCGCGTGCGTCGTCGTCGTCGACGCGGCGTCGCGCGCGAGATACGTCGCGGATTCCCCGTCGACGCGTTCGCGCGAGACGTCGAGCGACCGAGAGGGCGCGGGGGGGCGGTGAGGGACGACGCGACGGGTGAACGCTGGTGGAGATGGTGGCCATCGGTCAGACGTCGATGAGGCAGGGTGACAGCGAGGAGGGGCGTTTGAGAAAGCTGGTGCGGGACCGGCAAAGCGCGAGCGCGCGGAGAGAGAGTAGGCAGAGAGGGCGACTGGCGACGTCGTTGTCGACGTTCGCGAGCGCGGATGCGGACGCTGTGTCGGATGAGGTGCTGGAAACGCAGGGGTTGGGGGGGATGCGAAATCTCCTGGTGATGGATCCGAGAGAGGCGCTGCAGACGCTGCTCGGATACGGGCAGACGGCGCGGGATCGCTTCGTGGATTTCAAAGTCCGGGCGAAATCGCGAACGGCGTGGATCATCGCGGCGATTAGACAGGGTAATTTGTACCATCAGTGTCTCGTCAACATGATCACATGGCTTGAGAGCGAGCGTCTTGAGGACGAGGCGCGCTTTCTTGCGATCGAACAACTGTTCAAAGCTGTATCGCAGAAACCGTCGGAGCAAGAGCTGGACACCGCGGTCGATAGATTCCACGATATGGTGAATCGTTACACGAAAGAACGCCAGCGTATTGAAGATTTCGAGAAGGAGAAGGTCATGAAAATCCTCAGGCGCGCGTCAAGCGCATCCATTCTACAGGCCAAAGCTTCGGGAAAGTTTGACAAGCCAGAGAAGGAACGGGAGAACTTGGGAGAAGATCTTTACGAACAGGAAGAAGACAACTCAGATAAGAATATCGACGACGCCATCGCTTCAGTCTCCGCCGAAGGCGACGAGGATGACTCCGAGGAGGAACTCCTCAACAACCAATATGCCGTGCTGAGGGAGGCTTACGATGCTTCTCCCTTCCTCCGCACGACGAGTGGTAAGCTCGTACAGACGAAACTTACGCAAAAGCCTGCGCGTCTGTCGATGGATAGGGAATTTCTCAATGAGGACACGATCGGTTACGCCGTTGGGCACAATGCGACAACGACAGATGTCACCCGAGACTTGTCATCGTTAGCAAAGAAAATCCTCTCAGAGGAGGCTGCGGAGGGTAGACAAGATCCTGGTCCTACGAGGGCAGAGTTTGGAGCGAAACGTAGCTTGAGTGTACGTTCGGACGACGACACGAGTCAGGTGAGCAGTGCGACTGGATCGACTCAGAACAAATCGCAGTTGCGGGCGATGTTTGCACATTCGCTGCAATCTCTACAGAACAAGGATCTGTTCAAGACAATGGTGCGCCTGTTGAGAACACAGATCTGGGAGGCGTTCGAAGATCCCAGCAGCTCTCAAGGGGCGTACTATTTAGTGCTGTTCTCCATGATATTGATATTCCTATCGTGTGTCACGTTCTGTGTCGAGACAATGCCAAAGTACCGACTGGCCGGTGTATCAAAAGACGTCTTCCGATCGTTGGAGATTTTCGTGATAATCATGTTCACGCTCGAATACGTGTTGCGCTCAGTGTGCTGCCCACGCTGGCGTCGTTTTATAACCCATCCGCTCAACGTGGTCGATCTGGTGGCGATATTACCGTTTTACCTCGAGCTATTTCTCCCGCTTTCTGTGTCAGGTTTTCAAATATTACGCATGGTCAGACTGGTCCGAGTTTTAAGGCTTGTGAAGCTCGGTTCAAAGTTTCGACGGCTTTCGATAATCGCAACATCTCTCGCCGAGTGCTCTGATATGCTCCTCGTGTCTTTAGGGATTGCTGGCGTGAGCATGGTGACTTTCTCAACGCTCATTTACTATGCTGAGCATGGGGACTACGTTGCGGCGTCGGGTTTTTACTCGAGAAAGACGGACGTCGTGTGCGAGGGTGTGAGTGATAACGTGACGTCAATCTACCTGAGTGATGGATCGCTGGTGAACGGCTGCTACCGCGTGGAGAGTCCGTACAAAAGTGTTCCCGCCTCCTTTTGGTGGTGCGTGGTGACTCTCATGACGGTGGGTTACGGCGACAACGTGCCGGTGACGGTGTCTGGTAAGCTAGTCGCGAGCATGACAATGGTGGCGTCAGTTTTACTGCTAGCTTTGCCTATTTCTGTGATCGGTACCGAGTTCACTCGTCAATGGCTCGCGTACAGGATCGATGCAGAAGTTGAGAATGGAAGAAAACTCGTCGCACCGAGGGCCCGCAAGGTCTTCGATGCGTTGAAGTTGCAAGCGAAGAAAGCAGAAGACGCGCAGTTGGACCTTCGCGCGAGAGCGATCGACTTGGATGATAGAGTACAGACAATCAAGTCCATCGTACAGCGCAGGAAAGGAGAGTCGACTTACGTGCGGAGGAAGCTGGCAATCAAGAGCAACATCACGAAGGGCAGCGTTGACAAATTGCGCTCTACGTTGAATATTGATGACTTGGACCGCGAGCTTTATGGGCTGTTCATGAGTCATAGGGATTTGAAGACCACCGAACGCGAAGTCCGCACCATTTGGAGCGGGCAAAAACTTTTGCAGTACACTGAGTTCTTGATCTCGGCAGAGAATGTCGTACAAAGTCTGTGCAACGACGATTTCGAGTTGGTAACCCAAGAGATTGGCTCGCTATTCTTTGACATCTGGCGTGCTCGAGTGCAGCTCGCCAGCGCGTATCGTCCCAAGCAAGAAGCTCCGGCCGCGGCTCCTTAACACAAACGCACATATAAAATAAAATAAAAGGTTGTTTAGCTCAATTACAACGCGTAGAGCGAAACTCGCTGCGGTCCCACGACGCCATCACCCGATTTGACGCGGTATTCGAGTGAAATATCGTACGCTCGCGGTCGTTTCGCCGACTTCACCATGGAAATCCGTCCCGTGATTTCGCACCCGCAATCCAGTGCGACGGCCTCGTGAAAGTGCAGCATCGTCTGAACCCAGTGTGTTCTAAGGTTATCGGGATTCGTGGACAACATCACAGGGTGGTCGGCGCAAAACCTCTTTGAGAACTCTGTATCGAACCACAGCACGATGCCATGCGTTTCTTCACCCGTTCGTCCATCCTTTGCCTCGAGTGAGAATTCCGCCGTGAACTCGGTATCTGCGATGGAGCACGATGCGAGATCGAGCTCGCACACCCGCGCACTGGATGTTGTAATGTGTGTTCCGTCGACATGTCTCACGACCGCCGTCTTCAACGCGCCGTGGAGGAGCTGCTTGGAGATTTCCGCCATCTTGAATCCGTACGGTTCGTCCCAAAACGGGAAGTCCGTCGCCGACCGATCGAATCCAGCGATGTGAATCGTGGCGATATCCGGTAGCACCGCGCCACCGGGCTTCAAAAAGCGATCCCTCGCCACGAGTACCGTGTCAAGCATGGACTCGAAGAGTAACCCGTACCCCATCCACTCGGAGACCAAAACGTCAAACGGGGCGCCCGGAATTTCGCCCTCGATGTCTTCCAACTTTCCGTGAACGATCTTGATCTGGTTCGTTCCAGTCTCGTCGAAGCCGTTTTGTCGAATGTTCGTTCTCGCAACGTCAGCGATGTGCTTCGCACCGTCCACACCGACGACTTCGCTCGCGCCGCCGCGCGCGGCGAACATACTGAGGATGCCGGTGCCACATCCGACGTCTAGAACCTTCTTACCCTCGATCAGGGACGGGTTCTTCTCCAAAGCGTCTCGATACGCGTCCGTGCGCGCGACGTCACCGATCATATCGCGATGAATATCAAAGTACGAGTATGAGTCAAAGTATCCCTCGTCCACCTCTCGCTTGCGTCTCTCGTCGGCGCTCTCTTTTTCGCGTCGAGCGCCGCTCGCGAGCGACATCGCCTTCACGCTCGCGGTCACCGATTCCGTCACGCTCTCGCTCACTGTATTTCGAGCGCTGCCCTCTGTGCCCTCGGCGACGACGGGCTGGAAAACCTCCGCCACGCTCGCGTCGTCTACCATTCCCGCGTTCGACATCGCCTCAAACAACCGCACGCGAAGCTCCTCGTTCTCCTCACGCAGACGTCTCGCGACGTCAACGAGCGCATCGTCACCATCTCCGTCACCATCAAGAAGACTATTCTCCTCGCTCGCGTCGTCGTCGTCGTCCGCGCCGTCGACGTACGCCTCGAATCCGAACAACAAAGCGTCCTCCGCGTCCGTCGGCGTCAAAAACGCGTCATCCGCGTACGCCCTCGCCCGCGTGCCCTCCACTAAAACCCTCACAATCTCCGACGAATCCACCGCGCCGTTCCCTCGCATCGCGTCCGCCGTCCTTCGCACGTAATTCAACCACTTGAACACGTCGTAGAAGCACTCCCGCGCCCGTCGTCCGCCCGCCACGTCCCGGGCGTCCAAACCGTGCGCCATCGCCGCCGTTCGCAGCGCCACCGTCGCCGACGCGTGCGTCGTTTCCGGATCGATCAAATCTCGACACCGCTCATCCAGGAGCTCATCCTCGAACGTCTCCGAGCGCGACGACGACGCGTCGTCGTCCGTCATCGCGCCGCCCGCCCGCGCGCGCGTCGTCGTCGCCGTCGTCGTCGTCGCCGTCGCGACGCCGTCGCAACGCCGTCGCTCTGCCGTCGGCGGCGGCGGCGGCGCGACCGATGGGTGGACGACGCGTGTGGGCGAACAGTATGGAACCTCGAGATGATGGGCGAGTCGTTCCATCGTGCGGTCTTGGAAAGACTCGACGCTTTCCTCTCTTCAAAGGGCTCGAAATATGGAGAATGAGAGTAAAGACAAAATCGCGTGTATTTAGGGTTTAGGGTTTACGCGACCACAGAGTCGCCTATGTGTATCACATCGTGCTCGTGTGTGTGCGTACGTACACGTACTGTGTGACGTATAGAGCTATGTGTCCACGCGCGCGTGTCCCAGCCGCGCCCGCGCGCGCCGACGCCGACGCCGACGCCGGACGCCGACGCCGAGACGGGCGCGCGACGGCGGCGAGGACGACGACGACGGACGGGCGCGACGCGCGCCCGAGCGCGGGTCGAGCGATGTCGTCGACGGTGAAGAAACGGGCGAGTCGAGGGTGCAGACCGAGACTGAGAGATTTCGAGGTGCGGCGCGCGCGCGCGGTCGAGCGCGCGCGCGCGGGCGATGGGACGCGGACGTGGGACGACGCGCGCGTGCGCGTGGGCGCGGACGCGCGCGTGGGCGGGACGTCGGGATGGGTGGAGAGAGATTGACGGAGACGCGCGGCGCGGACGGCGTTCGAACGCGCAGAGTCGAGAGTACGTGGACGCGATGTCGACGATATTGCGACGGTTACGAAGGAAACACGCGTCGTTAGCGCCGTCGTTTGACGCCAGGGCGTTGGCGGGGGCGACGTTTCGTTTGATTACGGCGGAGGAGAAGTTTTTAGGAGCGAACGCGGAGCGCGAAGGCGAGTCGCCGCGGGTGCCGAAGATTCCGCATTGGGCGTGGAGAGACGTGACCCCGGGTGGGGGGTTGTCGACGTTATTAGATGTTTACGTGAGTCGGCGACGAGATGGGAAGCTCAGGGCGGAAGCGCAGGGTGAGGACGCGCGAAGAGAGTTCGAGGCGTTCGTCAGAGAAGCCAGAGAGGCGCTCGTGGAACGGCGACACCTTAAGTACGTGAAGATTTACGTCTCGGACGACGCACAGGGTGCGAAAGAGTTGAAGGCGTTAGCGCGGGAGATGCGAGCGACGCTCGCGGCGAACGCGGCGAGGAGGGGGTGACGCACGTCGTGCGAAGCGACGACTCGGCGGACGACCGCGTGGAGGACGGGTCGATGTGGAGAATCACAGAGACGTCCACGAGCGCGACTTCTGGGGGGAAGACGGAACATCGCGTGCACTATTGGTTCTATCCGGACTCGTACGAGCAGTGGTACGCGGAGAGCTCGCTTTCGGGTCGAGGACGGGCGCCGTGGTCGCCGCAGACGAGCACGTTTGCGCGCAAAGGGTTCGACAAACCGTTCAACGTCCGAGCGCGTTGGCTTCGGGATAGTCATAAGTTTAACGAGTGGATGAACGAGCTCGATTATGAGTTCGACATCACCCCTGAGGCGGCGCTCGGTGGGAGACATGCATGGGAAGCGCACGACGCGTCGTTGACGAGCGGTAAACGCGCGCGCGCGGACGTTGGCGCCGATACCGAGGGCGAGATGTTCGCCGCTGACGGTGACGAAATCTTATCATACTTCGTGACGCGTCGTCGAGTCATTCAACCGCATCCCATGATAGCCGCGTGCGTGAGCCAGGACGACGGCGCGCTCGTCTTGCGTGACGAGCAGGAGGACGTCACCAAGACGTACATGACGGCCAAGAACGTACGTCTTGTGAACATGACCGCCGGGAAGCTTCCACCGAACGCGACGCCATTGTTTGAGCGCGAGGAACGAGACGGCGCGAAGCCTTTGGAAGAACTCAGGATTCCTACACATAGTGCGTGGTTCAGATGGGACGTCGCGCACGAAATCGAGCGCCGAGCGCTGCCGGAATTCTTCAACGAAGACAATGGCACGGGAGATGGATTAGATCGATACATTTCGTGTAGAAATGCGATGATTCAATGTTTTATGAAAAAGGGACGAAACGTGACGATGCGTGAAGTCGCGCCGAAGGGCAAGTCAGCGCTGGTCGACGCCGCAGCCGCGGCGAGGATATTTTTATTTCTAGAGGATTGGGGACTGGTGAACTGGAGCTTCGCCGTCGATCGAGGCGTATTCAAGGTGAAGGACGACCCTCCGACCGGATGTCCCCGAATCATCCAAGCGAGCGACGGCACACTTGAGGTGAAGGAGATGGACCTGCCTGAGGCGCTGAAGATGGAGCTTTTTGATTTCGCGAAGGTTCGAGCGACGACGGTGTCTGGCGAACATCCCCTCGTTTCACCGACCGCGATCGCGGCGTCGACGGATGCGCAGTTTGAGCGACGTTCTTTGGACGAATTATTCGCCACATTGCAGGCAATGCGCGAGGTGGAGGTGCGGTTTGAGTGCAACGCGTGCGGAACTGATTTGATAGGAGGCGTCTTCTATCACTACACAGTCTCGGGCGCTTACGACCTATGCGAGTCTTGTTTCCCGCGAGGCGCGTACCCCGAGGGTCATACGAGTGGTGATTACGTCAAGGCGGTCTACCCAGATTTCGCCGCAAACGCCCGTTCGAGCGCTAGCGCGGACGACACAGAGTGGTCTCCGCAGGAGGTGTCTTCTCTCCTCGAGGCTGTCTCTCAGAGCGAATCGAGCGTGAACTGGAACGACGTCGCCGCGAGCGTCGGTTCGAAGAACGAGGACGAGTGCATCAAATATTTCGTGCGCATGCCCACGGAAGACGCTGCGATCGCTGCGATTGACGCGCAACTGCGCGCGCCGAATGGCGTCGTCGTGGACGCCGCCGCCGGCGCGACACTTCCCGATTCGGAAGACGCGCCGTTCGCGACCGCGCCGAACCCAGTGATAGCGCAGCTCGAGTTCCTAGTTAGCATGGTTTCTCCTCGAGTCGCCGCAGCCTCGGCCAAGGCTGCGCTCACGGAGCTCGTGAAGCACGGCGATCGAGTCCACGACATCGACGCGGTGAAAAAGGCCAACGCGCGAGGCTTGGTCGCGGCCGCGGTGCAGGCGAAGATTCTCGCCATGGACGAAGAGCACGAGATTAGACGTATCGTTTCCGGTATCCTGGACGTCTTGGCGAAGAAACTCGAGCTCAAGCTCAAGTACCTCGACCTCATGGACGTGCACGCCGAGCGCGCGCTCGAAGCGTTTTCGTCTCAGTCCAAAACCGCGCTCGCCGATCGAAGATCCGCGATCGCGGAGACGCGCGATTACAGCGAGCGTATCGTAGAAATGACCGCCAAACTCCACTCGCTTCGCCAGCGCCTGGCTGTGGAGGAGGCGAAAATTGCGCCCGCCGCCGCGCCCCGCGTAGACGTGTAACCGACACCCCAACCTCTGTCCCGCACACTGACGCGCTCGACGTTCGTCTTCACTCGAGATGACCACGCGTCTCCCGCTCGTCATCGACGTCGTCTCCGACATCGTCTGACCTTGGTGTTTCGTCGGTAAGCGGCACCTCGAGCGCGCCGTCAGAGCGTTGACGTCCAAGGACTCGAACCAGAAAGTTGAAGTGAATTGGCGTCCGTTCGAGTTGGTCAAGTCGAACGAGTGGTCCAGAATGCCGAGCGAGGTGTATGAACACGGAGTGAACAAACTCATGTGGTGCGAGCGAACGAATGCGCGAGCGCGCGAGACGCGGGCGATGAACGCGGCGCCGCGGCGACCGGGACACTGACGACGCTTCGGTCATCAATCATCGCACCAGGTATGAGGAACGCTTCGGCGCCGATCGCGTGAAGACGTTTGAACCTCGCTTACGTCAGGCGTTCGCGAGAGCGGGGATCGAGGGCGAGTACTCGCTCGATGGGAACACGGGTCCGACGTCTCGCGGCCATCGCTTGGCGTACCTCGCCGAGAGTAAATACGGCCGAGAGACGCAGGATAAGTTCATGGAGGCGATTTTCACGAGATACTTCTTAAAGGGCGAGACGCCGTGCGATCGCGACGTCTTGCTTGCGGCGGCGACGGAGGCTGGGTTGGATCGCGAGGAGTGCGAAAAAGTTATTGCTGACGACGACGCATTCGCCGCGGAAGTCGAGGAGCAAAAACGCCGATTCGCCGCGCGCGTTTCGGGGGTTCCGCACTTCATAATCTCTCACGGTGGCCGACGGTTGGAATTCGGTGGGGCCCAGCCCCCGGACGTGTTCGCCGAGGCCTTTGTGGATTTACTCGGCATCGACGAACTCGTCGTCGAGTGATGGACGATACCGCGTCCGCGTCCAAGTGCTCGAGACGATTCGTGACCGCGATCGCTCCGAAACGTCCATCATATTCATTTTGGACGCGACGATCGCGCGATTCATCGTCGCGAGCGCGTGTAATGCGCGTGTCATCATCCGCCTAGTTTGGACGCGCGCTTTTCCCGAAGGGCCCGCGTCGTCAGCCTCACCCCATTCGTCGTCGCGTCGACTCCCACGCGCGCGCGTCGCGGGTCATGCGCGCCACGCACGTGCTCACACGCGCGTCTTCGTCCATCGCGTGCTCGCGCGCTCGCTCGATTCGCACCGAAAGAGGCCAGCGAGGAATCAATTCCATGCGGTCCGCGGGGCGCGGGACCGCGCGCGTCGACGTCTCGACGAAAAGTCTGGCGAGCGAGATCGATATCCAGGGCGTCCATCACGTGGCGATCATCATCGAAAATCTGGAAAAGAGCATGGAGTTTTACGGCGATTTTTTGGGCCTGCCCATCAACACGACGCGACCGGCGGATAAGTTGCCGTACCGAGGCGCGTGGTTGATGATCGGACCGGAGATGATTCATTTGATGGAGCTCCCGAATCCCGATTGCATCCATCCCGAGTTCAGACCGACGCACGGGGGACGGGATCGACACTTTTGTATCGGCGTGAAGAACATCAAACCCTTGATCGAGGCGCTGGAGAAGCGCGGCACGGCGTACACGGCGAGCAAGAGCGGACGACCGGCGATATTCTTTCGCGATCCGGATTGTAACACGCTCGAGGTCGTGGAGGGCCTGGAGTGGCGCTAGAAGAGTTGTATACTAGTATTGCGTTCATTACTTTGATTTCATGACGACCGAAGAGTGTCTTCGATAATCGCTATTCGCTATCGTCTACCCGACGGTTTTCTCGATGAGGTGACCGGGCCCCCAGAAACCGGTGCAGTCGCGACCGCAATCACTCAGCGCACGCCCGGAATTGCGACAGTAAGCCACAGTTTGCACCTTCACGACACCACCCGCACGGCGTCGTTCGAGCTCGGCCTCCATCTTGGCGTAGCACTTTCTTAGCGTCCTTCTTCGATTCGTTGTCTTTTTCGGAGCCTCAGCGAAGAGTTTGCTTTCCATATCCTTCATCATCGCCACGCGACGAGCCAGGTCGTCGTCGTCGAGGTCAGGGATGGCGTAGAACGAGTAAACGCCGTCCAGCGTCGCGTGATGTGAACACGTCCACTCGCCGCGATTCGAACTGGATGTCTGACATTGCTCGCACAAAACCAAGGGATACCTGCACACGCAACACACCGCGCACGATCGAAGAGTAGGTTCGGTCTGGCGACATCTCTGACACCGCCACGCCTCGTCATCGTCCTTCCCACTTGCGGATACGCCCCGTCTATCGAATGTGAAGTTCTTACCCAAGAATAAGCACTCTTCGTCGTCGCCGAATTCCTCCAGGTACTCGTGTATCCCGCCCTCGAGCTGGTACACAGTCGACACCTCCGGTTGTTTCTTCTCTAAATACAGCGCTGCCTTCTCGCACCGAATCCCACCCGTGCAATACATGAACACCTCCTTGTTCGCGCACTTCCCCGCCTCGTCGTCTAAAAACCGTCCAAGCTCTTGCATGTTTCTCGCGTTTGGCGTCGTCGCGTGTCGAAACTTGCCCACCAAGCTCTCGTTCTCGTTCCTCAAATCCAACACCGTCGCGCTCGCCCCTCGAGTCTTCAACGCCTCGTGGAACTCTTTCGGTTTCAGGTGCACCACTTTTTCGCTCTTCGCGTACTTCACGTCGTCAAATATACCCCAGCCCACCAACTCGCGCACTTTTTCCACCCGCGCGTCGTGAAACACCTGAAAACTCGAAACGCTCCGTTTCAGCGGCATCTCCCGACATCCCGGGACGCACTCGGATAAAACATCGATGAAAGCGTCGATCCCACCGATCGGCGCGCACACCGTACCGTTCACGCCCTCATTAGAAACTAAAACTCTGCCCAAAGTGTCTTTGTCTTTCGCATCTTTGTCGAAAAACTCACGAACGCGCTCGACGACATCGTCGGCGTCGTCGATAGAGACGTACCGGTAGAAGAGGATCACATCATGGGTGTTCGAGGACATGAAGCGCGATGACGCGCGTCGTGGACTGCGGGATGTGATCGAACGAAGCGATGGCGGCTGTGAATATGAAAAAAAGTAGACGGGAGACTGTACGCAATCAACTGGAGGTTTGGACGTCGTGGATCTGCTTTTCGCGCGATGACGGGTGATGGAATTGATTCTAAGAATTCTACGATATACTATTAAATCGTCGTGCTGGAGGTGTCTGTCGCGGGCATGCGCATTCCGTCCGGTTCGCGCTCGAACGCGCGCTCGATGAGGTAGCTCGACACGCGGCTGCTCACCGGGCGCACGTCCGCGTCGCTCTTCGCTTCGAGCTTGGGTAGGAATTCCTTGTGAATGAGTTCCAGGATTTTGACGAATTGCCCGCGATACGCGGCGTGCATACGATAGCCAGCGATTTTGAGAAATGAGTCCAGCGCGGCGGCGGTGTACCGATTTGGCGGGCATCGATTGAGGAGACGGACGAGCCACCTCCATGCGGCGTCGATGCCGTGTGGATGCTTTGGAGCGTCGACCTGCACAAAGGCGGCGTAGAAGAGCATGATGCCCGTCATACGATCGACGTACGAATCCGTCGTCTCGAACGCGACCCCGTCGTCGTTCTTGACGTAACCCATGAGGTCGTAGTACTCGTCATCCGTTGCGTATCGCCCCTGCACGTACGGATAATATTTTGGCACCGAACTCACGCACACCTCGTGCACGAGGGCAACGAGCAAAGCGCCGAATCGAGGGACGTCCACGGCGATGCGAACCGCCACCTCGGCGAGCGCGAACGCGTACCGGTTGAGCTTTGCAACCTGCACGTCGCACTGCGACAACATCTTTTTAGCGATGCTAAGCAAAGCGAAAGTGCGCTGCGGCTCTTGGAGTTGGACCAACATGAGCATGATGTCTCGACTCTTTTTGTTGATTTGCTCTTGCGTCGCGGCGATTTGCTGGACGTGGACGACGATGGCGTTCGTGAGTTTTCTGCGCTCCATCCTCGCCCCCGGATGCGCCTGGTACTCCGCCACCATCTGTCGCGCCTCGATGAGCGTCTTAGCCAGCTCGGCTTCTTGCTCGAGCGCCTCCGAGGCGGCGGCGACGCGCGGAATCTCTCCGCCCGTGCTCTTTCCACTCACGTAATCGCTCGCCGCCTGCTTGCGTCTTGCCTCTTCCTCCTCCGCTCGTTTCTTCGCCTCTTCCTCCGCCTTCTTCTTCGCCGCCTCCGCTTCTTCCTCTGCCTTCTTCTTCGCCGCCTCCGCCTCCGCTATCTTTCGTTTCTCATCCTCTGCGCGTCGTCTCTCCTCCGCCTCGCGCGCCTCGGCGTCCGCCGCGACGACCGCCA